AGATAGTCTTTTGATTCTGGTCATTCCTAAGCCTAAATGAACGTGATAACTGTTAGCATGGCTACGTCTTTGGAAAGTGGATTGCCTTGACTCAATCGGCCGGGTATTGATAGCACAAAGAAGCCTCGTTGAAATTTCCTTCCAAATTCAAAAGAGGACAACTAAGTTCAATCCTAGGAACGACAAGGAAGAAGTGAGCAGTGAAAGAGGGGCGGTACACCGGCAGCATGGTTGGCCAGCATGTAAGAACTGTATATAACATTATCATAAATTGAAAAACCTGTAATTCGGCTCCAGTGAAAATAGACCTATTATAGTCGGTTACAAGTCAAGAAGGTAGGAGAAGCTCCTCCCACAAGTGTGATGCGCCTGTTTCAAATCTCTCCGCAGTCGAAAGAAGAGTTCACTGGAAACGCTCCTTGTTCCGCTTCAATGGGTTCCCACTTGTCTCCGATCCCACTTTTTAAGAAAGCGACCTTTGTATTCATCGGAGAGGGAACCGAGCCCCTGAAAGCAGCCTTTGTATCCATCGGAGGGGGAAGCTAAACCCCGAAAGTCGTATTTGTTTCCGTCGGTGGGGGAGAACTCTAATCTCCCTCTCGTGGCTTCCACAATGCTAAGTCAAAGTCGAAAGATAAAGCAAATATGTACAGAAAGGCAAGACCCTCCTCGCGCGTTGGCCGCGACGTCACGGAAACGGTGGGACGCTATTGGATGCGGAGGTGGCGGAGGGATATAGGATTCCCTTTGAGGGGCATTTGCCGCTACCTTCTTAACCTGTAACTGACTATAGTAAATTACCCAAGCATCGAGAAGAACGCTGAAAGTGCAATTCTATAGTCTGCGCACGTTGGCCTTCCTCTTATAAAAGATTCAAAGTAAATAATCACAACAAGGCTTTGACGAATGCGTGTGCAAGGCAAAATTTGTTTTAGACTTTTTGCTTTAGAACAATTGCTACTGCAGACGCCAGCACGTGCAACGCATATAACTACACTCGTAGCGTGCACCTCGGTGCTTGGGAAATTGAGAAAAAGGTCTATTGGGACGCTGTCTGCTTTTGCATGCTATCAATACTTGGCCGATTGAGTCAAGGCAATCCACTTTCCTAAGACGTTGCCATGCCGACAATTACTATTGCGTTCATGTAGGCTTAGGAATGGCCAGATTCAAAAGACCATCTTTTTATAAAAAATGCGGCGAGGTCATTGCTTATGCTTTGCGATTTAAGAGAGGTAAGGCGAAACGAAAGCCTCCTGCATCATTCATTGCTGACTAACGCGCCCGATATTGCAGCTACAATGACATATTAGTTCCAAAGCGAGCGGCGCTCACTCATCGGAGCACCGCCATGTTTCCCCGCATCCCTACCGAGCCAGTCACGTGATTTTAAAATCCCTCTCCTAGGTACTGCGGCTAATTTTAGCCGCAGTTAGCACTTTCGAGCAAACGAGCCCCGATGTGAAAGGTTAATTGTAGGCATGTAGGTTAGTTCATACTATATTTGGATATTTGGAAGTTGCCAAACAGGATTATGAGAGAGGAAGGAAAACAAACTGACAATGAGTTAATTGCATAATAAAAATTGGCAATGAAAGAAGAATTACCAGATGGCACGCAATAACATGTGCCCAATATGACAGTTTGAAGATTCAAGTACAAAGAAACCTAAGTTATTTCCAGTTCACTGCTGAGGAACATACAAAATGATTCAATATGATCCGCAACTTAATACACCGCCACCATTTCTGTCGCCTCTATCGGAACGATAAACATTGAAGAGCTTTACACAACAGAGTATTTCAGGCCTGTTAATACGATGGGGGAGCCAACGTCTCCGTCAGCACCACGACGTCTGTGCTGCAGGAGTCTGTCACAGGGATGACTTGAGTTCAACTGCAGAGTATACTGCTTGTCTTAATAAAAAACAGACACATAGTCGTCGCAATTTGAAAAACCCTCGCCCCTCGCTACCCATTATGATGACGCAGTTCTCCGCGATTGGTTAGAAGGAACTGTCAGTGTGTTATCTACTGCATGCATATTAGAGCCAGGACCAAGCTTAAAGGTCCCATGAAACGATTTTTGGTTTGGGATAAATCATTTTAGATTGGGATTTTACTAATAGCACATCGTTCAGTGGACCAAAAGAAAAAAGGTAGAAAGTCAAAAGCCCGACTTTCAGTGCGAAAATTTGAAAACAGAGCGGACTATTTCGTACCTCCTCCCCTTTGCAACCTCTCTGCCTTTTCACTCTGATACATCCGCGGTCCCAAAAGTGCATTATCGGGTCCAAACTTACGTCACACGCAACCGGACCTCACTTATTCCCTTCACCCCTAAGCTGAAATTGTGGTGGAACCTACGCGCTTGCCGGACCAATCAGCCGCCTCCCTTTCATCACCTGACTTCATTCTCTGCAGCCACATTTGCCACGCTCACGTGGCAAGTGTGGCTGGCCCAACGAGCACGTAGCTTCAACAGCACTGTCAGCTTCGGAATGAACGGGGTGGGGAAAGCAACTTTTGTCTGAATTTTGAGCGACGGGCTAATCTTCTAGGGGGAGAATGGATGTGTCCGGGATTACACAAACGAGAGTGCGAGCAAGAGGGGACTCCCCCTTTTCGTCTTCTTTAACTGTTTGGTGGAATGCGCGATTTATGAGTTGAGGAGGAAAGCGAAACAGGAAAAAGTTGGAAAAGCGTTTCATGACCCCTTTAAAAATGGCATATCAGAAATTGCGTTATACATGTAGCAGCTTTTGTTAACGAACAATTTGTTATATCGCAATTGAAATACAGAATTCTTGGCTTTCTCAAACTCAATAAGTTTCTTCCTGGCAAGGAACTTTGCCCGAGAGAAATCTTCACTGATGTAAGTAGTGCTTCCTTTTAGTTTTAGTTGTGAGTACAATACTAGGTCTTTGACTTTTGTTGATGTAAACTTAATCACTACTGGTTGGCATTTGTTGGCTTTGAAAGAACCGATCCGATAAACATGCTCAGTACAATCGGGTGGAACCTGAAGCTGCGTGTTATGATGACGCATGCAAGAACAGATGTTAAATTTTGTACAAGCACCAGAAAGTGAATGTGAGATTCTCCAAGCCTAACAGGATTGAGCCAGTCTGAATCTGTGAGATGAAAAACATGAAAATCAGAGATAGAAAAAAGGGAGAGATAGAGATACTGCTGGTATCTTTATCTCTGTTCCTCTCTTCGACCTCTGATTTTTACGTTTTTTGTCTTCCAAGTTCAAGCTGGCCCTACCCTAGTTATGCACCAACTAGCTCAACTCAAGCCCGTAACTCCAGGCCTATTCTAGCACAGAAACTGGAGCCCAACTGGCAATACTTAAGGCGGCACTGACACACCAAAGGTCGCATTTTTTTTTTTTGTTGTCTAAAATGGTGCAAGTTGTAGCCAAAGACACGCAAAAAAATATCACAACACCAAAAAAAAATAACTATGTGTGTGAAAACTTTTTTATTTTTGTTGTTTTCTCTCCCGCTTTTCACCTCCTTACTTTTTTTTATTTGTGACATAATCGATTATGAAATTTAGAAGCTTTGTATGCGACATTTCTACAATACTTAATAACGTCATTCGTAAATGCAATTGCGAACGCACATGCCCCCCCCCTTCTCTTCTTTTGAAATATTGAATATCAGAGTCCCGAAATGATGACACCTCCTGGCTTTTTATCCTCCTTCGGAAAGCGTGGCTGCGATCGGCACATGTAGCACTGAGAATAATCGGGGAGTCAGGGAATCGGACGAAGTTCTCTTTTCAGTGCCCAACGACCTCTCTGACTTCAAAAAGAAAATCGTCAAACAGTCAAAACAACTGGGTTTGGTGCCTGTGCTCTGTAGTTTCGGTTGTGACTCCGCTGGGGCAGTCTCTCAAGCTATTTCATGCAGCATCGGTGCGACATGGCCCCTCACATTGCTCTCAGAAGTCTACTGCGCGTTCACCCCGACCTTGCATCATTTCAAAGAATTTGAGATCGGTGAAAGGGCCCTAAACGAACTTCAAACTCGAAAGACAAGCGTCGTCTGCTCACAGTGATAGAAGGCACGCACGGAGAAGTGTGGGTGATTGCGGGACGTGGGAGAACACAAGATGGTTAAGAGGCGGAAGAGAAACTAGAGTAACAGGACGACTCAATCTTTGAAGTCACCGCATTGGCGCAGATTGCGCGGGAACTTGTACTTCGGCTTTTGGAAATTATTTTATTACTTCCCAAATACTGAGTTCCCAAGCTTTGAATTTTGAGGATAATGTCCAAACATTGTTTTCAATCGTCTCAAATAAAAAAAAAAAAAAAAAATTGATTTGCATGAAAAAATTGAAGCAGTTTTGTATTTGAGAAAAAAAAATCCACTTAAATCATCCTCATTTGGCCTCCATGATCACGGATATGCAATATTTCAGATCGATGCACCCAGTAACCACAACAGAGCTTCCAAAATAGCAATGAAGCCCCTCCTTCCAGGCGCATTCAGTGGGAGAAGGGAGTCGGGACGTATTATAGAGATCCCAACATTTCCACTCCTTCCGCAAGCCTAACCCAAGCAATCAAAAGCTCTGCATGCATTCCCTCGCAAACGGCACATGCAAGGCAGTTGAAACCCTTGGGTATAACATCACACCCAGTGGTTGGTTTTCCGGTTTTGTTCGCACCTATTGGTACTTTAGGGTGAAAGGCTTGTAATACAATATTTGGAAAAAAAATATGCTAAAATTAATTTCAAACTCATTTTCAAGAACCTCTTCAGCTTCCCTTTTACTGAAAACACTGAAAGCATAACTTGGCACATGAAAAACAAACTGTGTGGCATTGTTATGCGAAAATGATATTGGCACTTTTTCGCATTTTACTTTAAATAGGCAGACATCAAATATGACCACTGAGGTTAGTGGCGCTGGAATTTCTAGAAATGACATACAATATGACAAAGGTCATCAATCTTGCCCAAATGTGTACTAGTGGCAACTCACCAAGCTAGCATCCAGGTGAAAGGCTGTTTTCAAATGGCCGCTGTTGTATTGGTCTGCTGGCCTACAGTCCACCACGAAGTACCGCACAAGAGAGTGCTGCAGACGAAAACACAATACAACCAAAACGTGTAGCTCTTGTGTACACTACTTAAGTTTAGCAAATATAAAATAACACATGTTGGACTGTATTGTTAGGATCAAACATACTGTAAAACCCTTTATTTTTTTGGACCCTATTTTTCGCGAATCGGTCACAGATGACATAATCGCGACCACTAAATTTCGCGAATTCCAGACGCCTGCATTGAAAATCTTAAGGACCGAAATTTTCGCTCGCCCTTAAATTTCGCGAATTCTTCGATTCGTGAAATTCGCGAAAATTGGGGGCTCGCGAACATTAAGGATTTTACAGTATAACACTGCCTGTTATATTATTACTAACCATGCACAAATGTCTGAAAACATTGCAGTTTGAAGGACTGAAGTATGGCCTTCTCTGGAGACACAAAGATCCCAAGGTTATTTCCCTGTGAAAGAAGGTGCCACATCTAATGGCAAAGGGCCTCCAACTTGATGTTTCACCAACAAATTTCCGACAGAAATAAAAATTTTCCAAAGCTGAATCTTTGCGTCATAATTATCTAAACCTACTGTAATATCCCGGGCACCCCACCCCCGAAAAATAACCCATCCATATTTTTGTTAAGATTTGCCACTGTTTCAAAAGCACCGAAAGATAGCCCACTCCTAGTAATTGCGGGACTCTGGCCAATTGTGACCTCAGTAGAAATGGTGTTACCTAGCCACGGCGGGAGACATTGCTGACTGGGAACGACAGTCGAATTTGGTTCATCGGAGGCTCCTTCTTGTGATCGCAAGTTTCACAGGTCACAAAATCAAAAACTAGCACTTTTGAAGTTGTTTTTTTTTTATCGCATACCCCTTATTAGTTTACTCCTTATTTTCTCCTGCACCCCCTTGTTAGTTTTACTCTCACCTGATTTCCTTTCAATTTTAGGCGGGCTACCTCTTGGGTTGTTTTGGTTTACATACAGCTTGTAATGTTGTGTTAACGCTTCTCGAGTAAAAATAACAGGACACACAATATTCAACAGTCAAAAGCCACATTAAACTTTGAACTTAGCTTCAACATTCTCCATGCTTTTTTCTGCAGCTCATATTTAGGCTCAGCAATAGATATACCAATGTCTGTCTTGCCTCTTACAATGCAACTGGATCAGTCTTCGCTTTTCATGGAAGCAATTATTGGTATTCTGCATTATTTGAAGATACATGACGGTAGTAATATTAGCAAAAAGAACAAGTGTAGTGTATTCAGAAGCCCAGAAAAAAAAAGCATATGCAGTGTTCCAACAAAAATATGCAACTTGGGAAGGGGATTTTGCGGCATTCGCAAGCATTTGAAACCACTTTCTGGAGAGGCTGCATAGTTGGCAATTCAAAACATCACACAGTTAAGCGATATCACTCCCCACCATACAAAACAGCTTCTATTTTTAACAGTATTTAGACACCCTTAAAATAATTGCATGTTATTTCGCTCAAAAAACAAACCCCAAAACCTTACCCTGTCCAGTCCATTGGAAGTAACGAGTTCTGAAACTGACACAGGCAAGCACAGGGCCTGGGGTAGATCCCTGTCCAAGCATTCTTCGGAGCCAAAAATGATAGCATGATACTCCTGCAAATCAGGTAGGACAACTGCTTTAGCTCTTCCAACAGTACAACAAAGAAAGCTGAGCGATGAAACGGTGACCACTTACTCTGCTAAAGGACTGAGGGGTTCGCGTAGAGTAAAACTGGGCGAGTGAACAAAAGTCCTCTATGTCCTCTGCTTCTAAGGCACATGGAGCTGATGAAATGAGCTCTGTAAGCACAACACATTTTCAAATAAACAAATGCCTACCTCACCTAAAGTAAAAAAAAAAGAAGCTAAACGAGCAATCTAGTATTCAAAAGGTTAGGTTACAGGTTCCTCAAGAAACTCACCGATAAGAGCTGCTTTGCTGTCATCCTTTCTTGACATAATTTCTTCTCTACAAAAGGGGTTTATTGTTAGTATTCCCAAGTCCAGCTTGAAAGCAAACACTCCAAAAATAACTCTGAACATGGATCCCTAGAGGGTAGGGCTTTGTGACCCCTTTACTCTGAAGACTAAAAGGGCAATTATAGTTTGCTGATATTTATCACAGCTCACGTTTTTCATAACGCTTCCCATTTACCTCAAGTAGATGAGAGCTCATATCTTTCACTTTCAATTGAGGAAATGACATTTAATATGGTGCTACTTCTCAACACCCATCAAAGACTAGCTGTTCTATTGCTAACATTTGTTAGCCATGGGCTAACAAATCTGATAGCAATGAGTATCAATGTCAAGAATAACAAAGAATACAAACTTTCTCTCAAAGCAAGAAAAATAGAAACAAACCTGGAGAATATCATTTAATTACTAACTTAGTTCAACTACATAAGCAGAACCCAAGTCCAAAACTTTGGAAACAAATTAAGATTTTGATTTCTTATCAGGTACACCTTTGTGCTGCTGGCACTGCACTGACTAGAGCCGGAGTCAAATCGTGGTAGACACAGCACAAAAAAAAAACAAAAAAAACATGCCTTGCATTTTAGTGTTGTTGAGCAGTGCCATTTGCACAAAGATGCTGTCCTAAATAGCCCCCTGTCCACTTCGAAATTTTAAGAAAAAAAAAAAAAGAAATGAAGCACATCAAGTCTTCCTGACCACGACTGATTGAGTAGCAAAGTTCAACATTATGATAACAAGTTCATGTATCGCTGGTGGTTCTCTTTCTACTGGCCAATTAAATATCAGTTGCTTTAGAGAGCAAGATTGACTTTTTATAGAAAGCTCTTCTGAAATATAGTGTGAAAGCAGGTTAATTAATAAATGAGAAGCGTAAGTGCCCTTTTTCAAATAAAGCCTCTAGTAAGATGAAAATGCTTCAGCCATATGATCTCGTAAGTCACGTAACTCACACTCCTCAGCTGCAGGGCTTTCACATGGCCTGTTACAACTCGTAATAAAGGTTCCATAAACATTACCTCCAGGGACGAACGCCCATGATGAAAAAAACTCTACAGCTAAATGCAACTGCAACCTCAGACTTGCAAAGCGACAGATGAAAAAAGAGTTATCTGAGGAAATATCCAATAGTATACAAATTCTGTCTGCAGTCATTACGACACACAAATTTGTACTACCGTAACTTCGGGCATTACAGCATTTTGTTCTTTGATGCAGCTCATCTTAAAGAAATGAATGCCAGACAAACTGTGGGACAAAGTTTTTCATACTGTGAAGCTGTAAAGATCTCTGCTATTCTTCCACGGACAAAATCTAGCAAAGTTCTTGTAGTCTGTACAAGCAACCAACAAAGGCGAGAAAGAAGAAAACAAAAAGAGGGCAGATGAAGGGGGGTGTCCCACTCACTTGGTATTTGCCAGGAGCACCAGGCTGAGGTAGAACAGGAGAAATGGGTCAGACAGTTGGAGGTAGATGTCCCACATGGCCTGAATCACCTTCAGGTCACAGGTGGAGGAGAACAAACTCCGAAACTGAAAAGTATACAAAAAAAAGAAAAGGTTTACAAGATGAATTAACTGCACCAACCCCATTACAATTACTACTTAGTAGCTTTTGAAATGAGTAGAAAAACAACTGTTGCAAAACAGCAAAGAGCTGCATGACATTTGCAGCTCCCTGGAGTTTAAAAAGATAATCAGTAAAAGAATAGTTCTTTTATTTTCTGTTATCATGCAGATTGAGTCGAATGACACACCTGCAAGAAACCACTGGGTCAATTTTCATTGCACTGGTAACAAAAACTGGTTTGCCACATAAAGAATTCCTTCTATTGACTACTGATTTTAATGTTCCGTGCCATACCATTTTCTTGGAGCCCCACATAAATAATTGGTGTGTTCAACTCAAAAAGACACTGACACCCCCAAAAAACCTTTTTTACATTTTTTGCCAGGTGATTTATTATGGTGTCAGAACACTATCCAATTAATATTTTGCTACAGCATCACACATATTTTTAACAAAGTAAAAAATACAACTACTCAAAACCGAAAGCGAAACTGGACTGGTGAGGAAGAAGTGTAGAGGAGGAGAGAATTGGCAGAAGTGACGTAACTACAACCGACCACATTTTTTTTTTTTTCCCTTCACTTTTTTGGTAGTGCAAAGCGAATAAATGCCCACGTCACACAAAAAATGCAAAAGTCAAGCACTTCATACTTGACGTATGCACATTTTTAAGCTCTCAATTCGTGCTTGTAAGACGAGCGATGTCTTCAGCCAGGAGAAGGGGCAACAACACAGCAACGTCTTTGTGCGAATCAGCTCGGTGATCGGGCATGTCATACGGAATAAATCCTAATTTTATTGCTCGGTAAAAGATTTCTCTTCCGAAGCTAGACAAATCCACCGGTACCACGAACGACAGTTCTGAAGTATAGCTCCCACGCCTGTTGTCCGCCGCCATCACTTAGTCCGCATCGTTCAGCCGTCCAGCCCGGGATACGAAGCAATTTTGAGAATTACGCGGAGAATACACAGAGTGCTTCTAGTTCTCTGCGCAATTTTTTTTTTTTTTCAGTCAATGTATTTGCAGTTTTTTAAAAGCCATAAAAAATGGGTATCATATTTTTTTCTATCTTTAAAGGGGCACTGACACATCAAAATCATATTTTTTTTTATTATCCGAAACGATTGAAAACGATGCCGGGACATTACCCTCAAAATTTGAAATTTGGGAATTCAGTATTTGTCAAGTAAAAAAACAATTTCCAAATGCCAAATTCGAAGTTCCCGCGCGATCGGCGCCGGTGCCTTGACGTCAAAAATTGCGGAGTCCTGAGAGTCCACTTTCTCTCTCCACTCCCTGCTGTTGCCATGGCGACCCAAAGCGAGGAGGAAAGGAGTGAGCGGCGGCGTTGCGGCGGACCGGTTTTGAGCGGTGTCGCCTGTTTTCCGTTGGAGGATACAAATCCAGGAGACGGCACCACAACGAACTCCTGATTTTTGGTATTTCAAAAAGAGCCGTAGTGCGTTTGCAATTGCGTTAAAAAACATGTTTTAGGATTGCCGTAATTAAATGTTATAGAGATGTCGCCTACAAAGTTTCTAAATTTTCTGATTTTTGACGTCACCGATCAAAAGAAGCGAGGAGGTGAGAGGCGGGAAAATCAAACAACAAAAATAAAAAGGCGCGCGCGCGCAGGAAAATTTTTTTTCGCGATGCGTTTTTTTTTTTTTTTTGCGTGTCTATGATTGCAACTTGCATCGTTTTAGACAATAAAAATAAATACGACCTTTGGGGTGTCAGTGCCCCTTTAATACCGAGTGCATGCCTTAAATGACCCACAACTTTGATTAAATTTGGTGGGTGTGTCTAAACCATAGAGAACAGCACAAGACCACGAAGAAGAGAGTAAGCAAGGCTCAAACTGGCTAGTTCTCGATCGGCAGTTTTCGGGCGGAAGGAAGACGAATTTCAAGCCGCAAATTGTGTCCCAAGTTGGGCTCTCATATGTCACGTACAAATAAAAACCTTGGCGAGCATAAATACCCTCCCAGTGTCTCTTTAACAGTGTGGATGTGCGTGCACAACAACTGTAGTCGAGTTTCTTCATTTCGTTTTATCTGAGTACCAGTGGCACAGGTATTCCCTCACATGCAACCCTTACCACCCTGTCCCTCCAACTCCAGTACTGGGACTATACTCGGGAATAACTTTTTTCTGGCAATGAAGCCAAAGCTATGGGTCCTCATGTGCTCGCATACATAGACCATCGACCAAAGCTGCGCACACAACTATCTCCACTTCTCAAATGGAAGAAAACGTTGTCCCCAAATATAACAGGGATATTGCTCTACGGATGCGCTGGAGAGACACGGAGAAATGCCACCAAGGAGCTTGCAAAACCATATCTGCCTGATGGATCTAATAAAAATGGAATCACTTTATCACCATTCTTGAAGATCTGTCATTAAAAGTCTTCCACTCTGTCAATACGTGAGTAAAGCTGAATGAGATGTAGAAAAAGCAAGTTCCAGTCAGAAATTACCCTCTCATATCTATACTTATTTTCATCTCGGGAACCATCCAGCTCCTCACGTAGCATTACTAATTTCTCCCCTTATGCGGAGAATTAAGATTTATATGTAGGTTCATTTTAGATTACAGGTATACCTGTTATCTAACTAAAACGTGCATATTTAAAACGGCAAGAGCGTCGCGTCTTCCTCCAACAACCAAATCTTTTAAGAACTACTTGGTGCAGCATATGAACAATGTGCAAAACTTGCGTTTTTCTTGAGGTGACAACCAGTATAGTAATCAACACTGAATATATTAGCAGCATGGTGCTATAACACCACATCCTAGAATCGTCTTTTTGCTTACTATTTAAGGTTCTTCGGGAGTGGAAAAATGATCCTTAGGTAGCCGGGCTACCATTCTATAGAGAAATTTGTCGGCAGAAAAGGACTTGCCCAGGGCAAGGCGTAAGAGTCAGGCGTGATCTTCTTGGTGTCGAGGAAGGAACACAGCTCTGGATCGTGGTACAGCAGCAACAGCCGTAGCAAGTGGAAGGGAGACCCATCCTTGAAGCAGTGCCTGACCAGCCAAAGAGTCAGAATAGAAAACAACAATGCCTTCCAATTGAATATTGCTGCAATATTTATGCTCCAGACACCTTTACCCTAGTGCATGGGCTTTCAAAGTGGGTTCCCTAGAATGCAGGGGTTTTCCCGAGCTCCTAAATTTCGTCGGTCACCTTTCCCTCTAAGTAAAGCGTCCTGCTAATTTAGCCACTGTTCAAAAAAAAAAAAAAATCTGAGCTATTTATCGATGCGTTACTAGGTGGCCAACACACCATTGAATGTGCCCTACTGTTTACAAGGCCCGTAGGCTTCTCCACCGCCTTACTGCCTTAATGCCGAGAAAGGAGATGTTTCTCGGCAGTCAATCAAAAGAGGGGCATTCCCCAAGATCAAAATGTTTAAGAGCCCCAGCCAAAGTGGTGGCTAGGCGAAAACAAATAAACCCACAAATAAAGCAAATCTCTTTTTTTTTTTGTTCAGTTACCAACATTTTTACAGGTTTTGTAACCATCCGAGATGAGATTTAGTCAGATCAGATTCACTGAGATATTTTATCCACTCGCTTTACTTTAACACACAAACATCAAACACAACCTTTTCCGCTCATCTCAGACAGTCAAACGAACCGCCTACAAAGCATTTGTGCGATCGAAACTTGAATACGCCAACATCATCTGGTGGCCTCATCAAGCATACCTCTTAACAAGCTCGAATTTGTTCAAAACAAGGCATCACGCTACATCATGAATGACTATTCACGAACCTCGAGTGTCACAATTATTAAAACCAGCCTGGAGTTGAAACCACTAACCGTTAGAACCAAACTAGCCCGTCTTGTTTTCCTTCACGGCATCTACTACTCATCATCAAAATTTCGTAGCCTCTATCTCCAAGATCCACCTTACATTTCAAAGCGCAGCGATCATCCACTAAAAATTTAGCCTCTCTTCTCTAGAACTAACAAATTTCAAAATTCCCCCCTTTTACTTGCTATTGCAGACTGCAATTCCTTACTCGCTCACACCGTCCATGAAACTGATACCAATAATTTCGCAACATTTGTATTTCCCATTTGTAAAGTGTAATCACTGAAGGTTTTTTGTTTGTTTTGTTTTGCTGTTTACCTTTTACTTTTGTGTATTGAATGTTGTATTTATTCCCCACCCCCTTATGTAATGTATCCCAATAGACCATTTGTTGTATCCCCCAAGCGCCCCAGCCCGCGCTAAAAGAATCATGGGAACGGTTAGAAATAATGGAAACAGCGCGCAAACGACAAGGACGGGAGGAAAAGGAGTACACCAGGACGAGCGCTGACAGCGCTCGTCCTGTGTACTCCTTTTCCTCCCGTCCTTGTCGTTTGCGCGCTGTTTCCATTATTTCTAAGCATGAACCAACTTGCCCACATCGCTACTCTGATACATGGGAACGGTGTTCTTTCAGCCCCTTAGTGATCGCTAATTTCGACCTCATTTTTGGTCACACAGGCTTTGAGACTAATTCGGAGTCACTCTGAACAAGCGCCTGGTATACCCCAATGACCTGTCATATCGCTTTTAAAATTTCTCCTCAATGTCAGCGTTTTTGATACTGCGCATGCTGTCCACCCTTCAACCTGGATGGGCTGCAGAAATCTCTTACATCATTATCATGCTGATATTAAGTTAGAAACGCTAAAAATGCTATAGACAGCACCGTGGACTCCGAGCTAAATCCTGGTTTTTGTTGTTGTGAATTATCGGCTTTTTAAGCAATTCCTACTCAAACAACAATCACGAGAATGATAATATTGTAAGATTTCTGCAGCTCAGCCAGGTTGAAAGGTCGATCACATGTGCAGTATCAAAAATGCTGACGTTGACAAGCTTTTTTAGAAGTGATATCATAGGTCCTTGGGGTATATCAGGTGCTTGTTCAGGGTGACCTCGAATTACGCTCAAAAACTGTGTACCCATGGAGTTGGTTCAAAATTAGCAATCATTAGAGAGCTGAAGGAACACCATTCCCATGATTCCTTGAGTGGGGCTGGGGCACTTGGGAATACTGCAAATGGTCCATTGGGATACCTTTGAGGAAATAAAATCTGATCTGATCTGAACACACACAAATAATAGGACACAGTACCAGTTCATTCCACACTCTGATAGATAGTAAACTTTGGTTTTGGAGAGCTACCCTTTGAACTGCTTCAAAGTTCAATTAATCCAACCCAGGACAAATCACAGGTGGGAATATAAATTAATTTCCAAACTGACAGGTTAAGACAGGTATACAGAAAACTGCAATAAACAAAAACAGAGGATTTTTTTTTTCGCAGCTGCACATTGGACTGTGATTATCATTTGCTTAGGCATGTTGACACTCATATAATTAGTATTATTATAGTATGGTCTCTTGATACACACTTTCTGTTTCCCCTCAAAGAATCTTTTCTATGTCCCCGAAGGGTGATACCACCATGATTCAGGTATGTACCTGTATATGCCTTTAATATGCTAAAAACACACACTAGAAAGACCTATGAAGACTGAAAATTATGTTATTTCTACAAAACAATGAGTCAAATCCGTCTGCTTCTACACCAGAAATGACTCTGATAACACATAGGTTGCGCATGAGGACTGATTATACACACACCTGCAGCCAATGGGCTGTGAAAGCTAGCCGGCATATGCCGGAGTACAGAATGAATGGAAAAAGCCTCTATCTGTTGTTGTTGCGACAGCAGATGTTTCCGCTCTTACTTTAATGCCTTACAAAGAATGAGGCAGGCTCACCTGGGGATGTAGGTGGTGATCAGAGCATGGAGGCAAAAAAACAGTTCAGTCTTTGATAGATGCAGAGCAATGAGGGGCTCCAGCACTTCCATCCAGCCATTGGTGCTTTCATAGCGGAAGCCAGTTGTCTTGCAGAATCGTGTCAACACAGACTCAAGGTCACACAGCACCGACAGTTTTTCCTCGTCATCATTGCCAAAACGTTCTGAAATATATATTTTGTTTTAAAGCATGTCAACATTCCTTAGGTATCATGCAAACACAAAATAAAAAAAGACCTCCAATGGGAGCACAGGCAGCGGTTAGGGGCATGTTTGTTGACAGACAGATATTGCCATGGGCAAAATAATGCTCAATTATAGAAAGCGGATATTACAGAATGGTACAATGTAACTATGCTACTATCACTGCATGTTTTACCAAGCAATGAAAACCCCTTTGAACCAAAGATGTTGCATGTCATCTACGCTATTCTAAAACAGCTTGAAAAAATATTTTGTACAGTAAAGGTTTTTGAAGCTGTTTTGGACTAGCGTATATGACATGCAACATATTCGAATGAGACATCAGAGCCTCCTCACGCACCCAAAAAGTAATGAAGTGGTGACTGATCATACCATGTATGCCAGTAGACAAAACCATAGTCAGTATTTTTTTTTTTTTTTTTTGTGGGGGAGGAGGGGAGGGGGGAAGGTTAAGGTCTATAAGTATATTAGAGTTTTAGCATTGCATATAACAGCAAACGCAAGCGCTGTGCATTTGCATTAGCGTTGCATTCTCGAAGCTGCAAATACGAATCACCGCCATTCGCCAAGCAGTTTGGGGCTCTGCGTACATTCAGTGTGGAACAGGCAATGCTAACACAAATGCGAAGCGGTTGTGTTTGCTCGTATATGCAATACTAAATCTTTTGGGGTGAGGGGGGCTGCAGCCACATAAGCTCGTCCCCTGGCTACGCTACGGTCAGTAACATCATAAAGTTTCCCCATAATTTTTGTGGTCAACTTACACCACATTAAGTCATAAGCTTGCTGTCAGTTAATCATGCTATGGAGAGATCTGTCCTACTTAGATCAAATCAAATGCACCTAGTGTACATAAAGCACAGCAGGAAGCTAGATAACTCTGTGAACAGGGCAAAAAGTGTCCTACCAACAAGTGCTTGGCAGTCCTTCCTTATCAGGGACTGTTCAGCCAGGTCATAAATTTCATCCCAGTCACCAACTTCTTTACCTTTGACACCAAGGCTTATCTGAAAAGATAAAATAGCCACTTTAGTAACAAAAAAAAAAGAGGATACCAGTACTCAATTGTTTTTGGGAAGACTTCCAGGGCATGACACAAGCAATAATTCCTTCAGCTCTTAATTCTATTTTTATTTTCAAGTTTCAAATGCAGATAGAAGCAGACAAATAAGAAGACATTGGGTGATTCACTGAGCATCGGCCACACTTTTGCTGTGAAAAGCTTTGTGTCGCTGATAAACCGAATAAATCCATATCATTGACTGCACACGGGCCAATTTAGTGAGGTATGTAGCATCTAGGATAATCAAGTACTTACCTAGTTCCACAAAATCAACTTTTTGGTTAGTAAATGTATAGTTCCAATAAGTGTCATAGAAAACGTCCAAATCAGTAAACGCTTTAAAGAAAGGGAGCGCGTGGGAAGCGAAGAGCAATGGTGTGTAAAAGTTACCACTTGTGCTACAAACTAAAGGCTTGCAGAATAAAAATGTGGATAAGAAATGAAAAAACCGTGCAAGCATTACAGTCAGATGCACGTTTGGGACTGAAAAAAATTAAGCACGCTCTCCAAATCTTTTTTAAATCTACTAACCTAGGGTTTCTTTCTTCAATGATGCTCATTTAACAAATTAAAACATACATCATAAAATTTAATTAAAAATTTAATTATCATAAATGCTATCTACCCCAATGAATAAGCACCTTGACAGTGACCAACGCGGTACCTACTTGTGGGATGCATAGCCTTTACCCGAAAACTTTAACTGTGGTTCGATGGACCACTCGGTATAAGTAACACGGAGATGTGCAACTGGATTGAATGTTTCTTAAAATTTATAAGTGAGTAAACACAAAGCAGCAGAAAAAAAAAAAGTTCGACAGAATATGGTGTTTAGGATGTCTGAAGCTCAGGTATTTGGCCCTTCTTTGTGACAGGTCTCCGAACCGAACCTGACACGGTGCGGTTCACTTGGCACGAGAAATAATTGACCAGGCCTCAGCTCGGCTTATCTTAACAAGCGTTATCGGTCCAAAAGAAAACACTCCAAAGAAGCCAAGTTGACTGGTTTGACGGAAGCAGGGGGGGAGTACACGAGACAAGTGCAACATCCTCACCTTCCAAACATAGGCGCGAAAGCACTCTGGAACAGGTTTCATCTTGGAAACCTGGCGAAGGGTATTCAGGTCACATTCCGAAAGAAGAGCAGTCTCCAGCTCCTGCATCCTTGAGTGAGAAAACACAAAAGAAATGTGTCCATTCATAAAAAAAAAAAAAAAAAAAAAAAAAAAGCTGGGAAGAAAAAAAAATTACTACAATGGAAGCGCTTCAAGTGAAAGATAGGTTAATGGACTTTTGCTGGCAGAAGCAGGGTAGAGCTGTGTACACACAAAAATAAACCAAACCCAGAGAAAACTGAAATATACCATAATAATCCATATAATAATAAACGCACATCAAGACAATAAAATATTCAAACTTTTGAGGCCAAAACTCCCATTAGATTCTAGTTAGGTTCCCATACAAGGGGACTGGTAATGTAATTTAATAGTTTTCCTTTCTGTTGTACTGTTTGGTCATCATACTGCTCCGTTGATCCTTCCAAAATAGTTATCTATTCGCGAGAACGGTCACTACAAGTGCGCATTTACGAGTGCAGCTGCCTAGCATGTCAAAAGCCAAGCTGGCAAGCACTTAGAAAGAAAAAGAAAAAAAAAACAGGGAGAAAAATAAGATGTCCTAAACTTGGGGGTCAAACGTTTTTCGGCAATGCAGTCAAAGTTACTAGCACGCGTGCCTTCTCTCTATCTTGAGCGATGATTAAAGCTAAGCGTGCAGTCACCCCCTCTCCTCGGAAATGCCGAGAAAACGTTATACCAACGATCTGAGTGCGCCAATGAACAACAGCGGCAGCACCACACCTAGGCGGCAATCTCAAGAGTGCTCCTCGGGTTCACACGAGGCGAAATGTCACGCCCACAATCACTCTCGTCATTCAACATTTCGGTATGCTTCGGCTCATACCGATGCATGGAACCGACCATGTGGAACCTGAACGTCTGCGTCTATTTTAAGCCACATATTCTGCAGGATTGACATCTGACATGCTAAACATTCGTTGTTGTTTTTTTGTTTTTTCTCTTTTTATTTATTTTCACGGGTGGCGTTCCAGTTATCTACAAACTACAAAACGTCATCAAAAGCAGATATTGTTGATCACAACTGAACCGTGCGCTAGGAGGACCAAGACTACATTAAGTTGAAATATCTACGATATCTAAAAAAAAAAAAAAAAAAAAAAAAAAAAAAAAAGTCCATATATTTCAGCGATGAGAGAAGATGCAGCTACTTTCAATAATTCAACAAGCCAAAGAAAAAAAAAGAAAAAGAAGACAGCTGATAACTTCAGTATGCTGTACCACCAGAAAATATAAAGGTGCTGACAACGCAAGGCTCGGTAAATTCGTACAAACGGTGATACGATCGTTTCGGGGGTAAGTCTAATCTTTCCACACATTCCAGCACGCAACAATAGGAAAATAATTACCAATATTACGCGGAGTCGCTGAGTGAATCTGAGCAGAGATAAACCGTACAGTCACACAATAAACCTGCAGCAGCGACAACAATATCCGTACAAATATTATCTATGATAAATTCTAGTTTTAAGTGATCGATCGATTGGAGAGATTTGCTATTCAATAAAAATAGAACGTCGCCCGGCTCACCAGCTTGTATCGTCAACATCCACCGAAGTGGCCATCTTGTAAAGGGGGTTCTAAAATGGCGACGCAAAATGAACCGGCTATTCTAACGTATTTTTACGTGAGACTTAATTATACAAATTTTAAAATATATTTAGTGTAAGTTAATTTGTTAAATGCCAATATTAATGGTAATAAGCTATAAAGTTTTTTTTTTAAACGCGAGGAGGCAGTGGAGGTCATTTTCGCGTTTTCGAGTGTTGCATTGTGGGTATCTGTAGTTCAGGGTGAATAGCCAGTGGGGTGAAGCTCTCGGCTACTTCCGTCCCGCCGCGTATACTTATGACGTTTGTCCGGTCCGGCGAACTGCTTCCGATTGCCGCGCTCCCAGCGGCTGTTGGCACTTGTTATTTTATTTTAAATAAAATTGATTCATATATCTAATGATGCCAAATAAAGGTGAAGTTGTTTTGAAGGTGTGAATGGCTTTGAAGCTTGTTGTTGTAACTTTCTCTTTCACTCTTTCAACGTGTCTGGGCGCGCTTTCTCTCTCTCCGAACCCGCGCCTCGCGCCTCGAGATGCGCTTGGCCGCTGGCGCCGGGAAGTCGGTGGACCGTTAGAACGCGCGAGGGACGCGAGCCGGCGAGTTGTTTCGCTTCTGGGAGTGCGTCGCGGCGTGAGATTCGTCCCGCGTTCGTGCGCGCGCGGCTATCTTTTCTTTTTCGTGGGAACTTGTTGTTGGTGTAATGTGATCAAGCATAGATTTTTGTCATCAACACACAACCTGATGTGCCAAGTGGGGAAACAATGACTGCCGAAAGCCGGGATATCAATGGTTTCGAGTTCGAATGGACGTGCGGTACGCTCTTTTGGTCTTCTCTTGCCTAAGTTTCTGATTAGATGTTTGCAACAAAACCTAACTGTCGCAGTGGTAGTGAGTATTAATTGTTTGATTTTGGCAATAGCTACAATGGTTTCCAATCACAAAACCAAATCCTATCATTGTTCAGGATTGCTCTTCACTCGCCGCGAGAAATCTGTCATTGTCAAATTACTGGAGACTTCCGTGTAGACTTTGTCATATCAAGATCGAGCACATATGCTCACTTTAAAAGATGGCAAACTTTTTGCTGTGAGCTGTTTATTTGGCACCGTTGTCAGCGATTCACGCGTCTGTTCGCGAGGAGTGAAAATATGAGCCTAAATATTTTTTCGATTACTGTAACTGAGGATGAGCGATAGAGCGATCCGCTCTGGTTTCCCGTTTCGTTTAGCAGTGACTCACTCCTAAATTTAAGTGATAATATTAAAAACGAATGGGCAGGTTCTCGATGAAGACTCAATACCAAAGAGCTGAGCTGTTTTTCTTGGTAATCATTGCTTAGTTTCCTTTAGTTGCAATTAAGACACCGTCGTCGGTCTTTACTTATATGCTTACTTATATAATCAAATTTGCAAGGACGCATATCATCACCTTCGTCGCACGTAACCTTAACGTTTTATCCCGTTTTGTTGTTCATTTCTTTGTTTCTCGTGTGCAAAACAGAGAAATTTCGTCTGTATTTTCTACTGTCTGCTGAATAAAAATGAACGTAAAAGGACAAGCATTGCATATTTTTTGTGTATGTGTCACTTTCGTTGCTTTGCTAGGTTTCTGCTGCTTTGCTGCTGGTCTCGCTTTTCAGTGCTGGCTTGTGTGCGTTTCAACGCACATTAACCAGCATTGAAATGCGAAAACCAGCCACAAAGCAGCAGAAGCCTAGCAAAGCAACGCGCAAACCGGGCAAAAAAAAAAAAAAAAAAAAGCTACAATATATATATTTTTAACTGTAGGTGGCGCAAGCTACCGCCCATCCATCCAAGCACAATGGCGCTGCCGTGCAGTTTCGGTTTTGGTTTCGCTGTGCCGCCATGTTGATTTTAGTACAGCCACCAGATACCAGGGGATTCAAATGGCGCTGCGGCCTCCCAGGGTCTTCCAATTTGCGTTCCATGGGCGGTATAGGAAGTTGCACTCCTCTGGAATAGCCAGGCGATGTAAGATGGCGGTGAACAGTAGGTCTAAAAATTTACAGGCAATGAACATTACGTCCTTGTTTAGTCGAATACACGGTGCGTTTTCGGAAGCCATGGCCCCTCCCAGGTTTGTGATCGACCGACGGACTATAGAGAAGACTTGGAAGCTGATGGACAAGGTGGTGAAACTGTGCCAGCACTCGCGCATGAACCTCAAAAACAGCCCGCCGTTCATTCTGGACATCCTGCCGGATACCTACCAGCACCTACGAGTGATCTACAGCAAGCACGAAGACAAGATGCACCTGCTCAATGAGAACGAGTACTTTCGGGTGTTCATCGAGAACCTCAACCGAAAGTGCAAGCAGGCCATCAAGCTCTTCAAGGAGGGCAAAGAGAAGATGTTCGACGAGACCTCGCACTTCAGGAGGAACCTGACCAAGCTGAGCCTGGTCTTTAGTCATATGCTGTCTGAACTCAAAGCCATCTATCCCAACGGCATCTTCTGTGGTGATACCTTCAGGATAACCAAAAGTGACGCCTCGGAGTTCTGGAAGAACGCTTTTGGAGACCGGTGAGTGGCCGCGGTCGCCGCCCGCCCGCCTGCTCTCTCCGCATCCCACCCCACGCGAGCGCTGGCCCCGATCCTTTTTTTTGCCTGGCCCATCGTGGCTCTTCCACCCGAACGTGTTCGTACGGGACTCCCTTCATTTTATACCGAGGGAATCGATGATTTATAGTGTCCACGGAGTACGGAGAGTTCTTGAAGAATTTTAGGAGCGAGACGGACGCACGCGTGAAGCCTCCCTTTTCTCCGCTCGGGTTATCCACTGATAGCTCGCAAGCCGCGCAGCAGCGCGCTTGTGTCCGGAAACGTTTCCAGTTAATTGGCCCTGCTTCCTCGTGTTTCACGCGTTGTTCCTAATGGAAGGAGCGGGGGGAGACCCGTCGCCCCGATCGACGTATCCGCCCCCGGAACGGAAGCGGCCAAGTTCAAAGAAAACATGGGCTCTGTCGGGTGATGGCTCTTCCACAGCCACCATGTCGGTCAGAGCGCCTGTCCTGCTACGGGAAAGTCTAGGGCCGTGTTTTGAAGTACTACGCAGCTCTTTCTCTAATAATAATAGACTTTCAAGAGTCGGGGCCATCAAACGTGTTAACCTGTTTGTTTTTTTTTTTCCCTTTTTTTTTTGTTCGTTTATTTGGATACGGGAGCGAGCACGTAGATAGCCTAGCGAGGTTATCAATTTTTCACGCGCCGTTAAATAATTTAAATATTTCTCGTAAGCACACTTGTATTAGGTATTATCATAGGTCTCATGACCCCCGTTTTGACGTGCTATAATCAATATTAGGAGACTGAAACTAAATATCGGACGTTCACAAAATCCAGGCACTATTAAGTTCGCTGCACGGGTTCAAATCCTACGAAATGTAATGTTTTAACGCAGCCAGTTCTGTAAACTAACGTTTAATTTCCTTTTTTTTTTCTTCCGGGCGTTTTATTGCCGTTATTTGAGTATTGGTTGCCGTATTCGAGTTCCACACGTCGTGTTTTATTCGCGCCCGCAGCTTAGACGCGCGTTCGGCTTTGTCAAGGCTGTTTGGTGGCAAGGTCCCAACCGTCGAAGTATTCGGCATTCTGCGGTGATGAGAGCCTCGCTGGCTCGGTGACAGGAGCAACGTCAGCCTCTATGTGAGGTCGCGGTGATCACAGAGAACTTGTGTACGGGAGCGTATACGTCGTCGGTGAAAGCGAACGGCTACCTGGCTCCGCGCCAGCGGAGAAACTACGTGAATGAAAATGTTGAGCAATGTGAGGGCCACGGGATGGGAGAGAGAGCCGCGCGGAGCTCCGAGGGTCGCCCTCCGAGCCGCGGTTTCGACCCCCGCGTTTCCATATATAACGCCCGTTTCCCGCCTGCTGTCCCTCACTCCGCTGTGTGACATCACATCCTCTCCGCTGCAGCCTCCTCCTACGCCCGTCCCTCTTCCCTCTTTCGCGAGGAGAAAGGGGGAGTCCCGAATGAGCAAACCGCTCTCGCGTCTCGGGTTGCCCACTGCCTCGCCGTTTATTGGCACATGGACAAGGGGCAGAAAGACAACACAGGAGCCCGTGCTTTATTTTGAACACACTTGTTTTGGCTCCCCTCTGCTTGCTTTTGTTCTATTTCGGTGCCCGAAGGACAAACACTGAACCTGACCTGTAGCTCTGGCAACCGTGGATCATTAACAAAATTTGCTGGGGGATCACCGTGTCTTGCTCGTGGCAAAAGGCAACAGAAAGCCAAATTTTGCCTCTTTTTAATCTTTTATTCGTCTTCACCTTCACCTGAGGCGAAGTTGCAGGAGACCTCTGCACATCTTATTTTTGCCTCCAGGGGTGGAGCAGACTGTGCTACATCCCCAAGTTTGATTTCAAGTTTTGTTCTGTTTTGACACAAAGCTCTTTTGTATCCTACAATCTATAGCTCAAAATAGTGGATTGACAGACTAGTTGGTTGTTGACAGACATGATAAAAGAGTAGCGTATGTTTTGTTTCTTCTGTGTCCCGTCTTTTATGCGCTACTCTTTTATCATGTCTACAATCTGTAGGGCTTCTTTTATTATACTACTAGTTGATCATGTACTATCTGGGGCTTATAAACAGGGTTCTGTGGTTCTGGATAAAACCCCCAATACAAGTTCGCAGGTAAAAGTTTCCTTGTGTCAGGTTCATGCAAATAACTCGGCTATCCGAGATCACACACAAAAGGAAGGCTGGTGCGCTTCACATCAGTCACACTAGAGAGCCACGTTAGAATCGGTTCTGTAGAGAGACCACTTCAGTCTCCTCTCAGACCTCGGATGATTCATGAAAAGGGGAGCTCATTGTCGGCTTCTGTTCAGGCCACCAGTCATTGTTGCTGTACTTCTGGGTCGCGACAGAAACCGATGAAGCGTTGCAGTAGCCACTATTTCAGTTCAGTTTCGAGTGAACTCTCTCCTATGGGTATCTACAAAGAGTGGGGCACGTTTTCTTTTCTTTTGGGGGCCTCTGCGAAATCGACACCTAGTGGCAGAACCCAAAGGCATGTCAGCGGGCTCGCCCACCAGCATGCACAGGTGGATAAAATATTAGCAGTGTCAGGCAGTCCAAGCATGAAGCTCTGAAAATTGGTTTGGAAATGTAAGATGAGAATTGCCGAAATCGGCGGTAGCTATGGTGACATATTTGTAGTAAATATTGCTCACGGTCAAAAATGTTTATTTATTTATTTATTTATTTATTTATTTGAAATACTATCGGTCCTACACAGGACCAAGATAGGAGTGGATTTTTTACAACACAAAAAAATACACTCGCTCAAAATCCACAGATTAATAACACGAATTTAACACAATGATGAAATGACAACTCTAGGTACTGCTGTCAGAAATCTCTGAAATAAGGGAACTAAACTCTTCTCGAGTTTCAGCGGTAACAACATGTGCGGGTAGCTTGTTCCAGTCTCGCGCTGTTTGTAAGAAGAACGAATACCTAAAACAGTCCTTAGAAAACTTCCGCTCTTCCACATACCGAGCATGCTTGCTGCGGGTTATACGCGACATGCTCTCCTTAATATACTGTTGCTTATTTACTAGAACCAAGTTATTCATTATGTTAAAAAAAAGGTTAAGCCGCTTCTGCTTCCTCCGCACCTGAAGGAGGGGTAGATTTGCCCTTTTATAAAGAGGTGACACAGAGTCCAGCCGTCTATAGCTAGAAAAAACAAAACGTAACGCACGCCGTTGAACTTGCTCCAGATTTGATATAAGATATTTAACATGCGGGTCCCAGACTTCACATGCGTATTCTAATAAAGGCCTTATTAGCATCTTGTATGGTGTGAGTTTTGTTTCTGGGGAAGCGAGTTTAAGAGTGCGCCTGATGTACCCTAATCTTTTGTTAGCTTTTCCGATTATATTGCTAACGTGCGGAGTCCAACTTAGGTTTGAGGCCATTGTAAGACCAAGGTATCTAAACTCTGACACTCGGCTTAAGGCTTTTCCTTGCAGCATATACATATACTCTAACGGCTGTCGTTTATGAGTGATCGTCATACATACTGTCTTGTCTAAGTTTATCGACATTTGCCACTTAACACACCATTCATTGATCTGAGACAAATATTCGTTTAGCATAATTTGATCATTAACGGACATCACTTCAGTATAAATAATACAATCGTCGGCAAATAATCTGGCTTTTACAGGTGAATCTTGGATAAGGTCATTAACAAAAACCAAAAACAGCAGGGGACCCAGGACAGAACCCTGTGGAACACCCGAGTTCACATCACATTCGTCCGAGCTAACCCCATCAATACTTACAAACTGTCGACGATCATTTAGAAAGGCCTCAATCCACCGAACAATCTTATTATCTCCCAAGATGGAAATCAATTTAATTAAAAGCTTTCTATGATTAACTTTGTCGAACGCCTTCTTAAAGTCTAAAAATATGATGTCTGTTTGTCCCTTACGATCCGATACCTCACAAAAATAATGCATGGTTTCTACTAATTGCGTGACCGTTGACAGCCCCTTGCGGAAACCGTGCTGGTACTGGCTGAGAACGTTATCCGATAAAAGAAATTGCCGGATATGTTTAGAAACAATATGCTCAAGAACTTTGCACGATGTAGACGTTAGCGCGATAGGTCTATAATTGCATACTGACATAGCATCTCCACTTTTCAGTATTGGAATTATCTTACTGAGTTTCCAGTCATAGGGTACAGTGCTAGTCATAATCGACTTATTAAAAATTAAGTGCAGATACATTGCCGTCCACTCTGCATCGCTTTAGAAAAGAATTTGGAATTTCGTCCGGCCCCATGGATTTGGAAGTTTTTAAGTCAAGCAACAGAGCCAAAATACCCTCAACTGACAGTTGCAGGTCATCATCAGCCCGTGGAATTTGAGCTGGTGATCTAAAATCTACAGACTGCTTATCGTCTTTTGTGAAGACGCTTGCAAAGAACTCGTTGAATTGAACTGCAATCTCTCGCTTGTCATTTATAATTCCTTGCTCCGTTTTGATCTCGGAAACTGACTTCCTAGCTGGTGCCAAATGCCTCCAAAACTTTTGCGGTGACTCACGGATAAACTTTTGCATTGTCACGTTATAAAACTTGCGTTTAGATTCTTTTAGCACAGATTTCAGCGCCATGCTTAAAGCCGAGATATCATCCGATAACGCCGAACTAGGTGTACGACGACACCGCAATCTGCGCCGCCCTATGCACTTTCATATGTTTGCATGTGGATGTTATTTTTTTTATTCATAATTATGGAGATTTTGGGAAAACAACGAAACTGAACTCCAATAAATGCAGATTGTAAGGGAATAGCAAATTTAACAAAACTAAACTCTAATAAACACTGAATTGCCTATAAAAAATAAACTCTGAAGAGCATGCACCAAGTTTCTCTGCAGATAAGCTCCAACAGTGGAGCCCAACTTGTAAGACAAGAGGCAATTCTTAGAACATGAAAATATCTGCACAATAAACAATAGACTATGCGAAATTCATAGCGTCATCTATACCCCTTTTCACCTCAAGAACCGTAGTAAAAAAAGTCCGGCTCCTCGCAGAGCATTACTACTTTTCTTTTTTATGAGGGGAATTAATACATATGTAGGTGCATTTTAGATTAGATATGTGTTATCTAATCAAGACGTATACGTTTCAAATGCCAAAAGCATCCCACCTTCCTCCGACAACCAAATCTTGTAAGAACTACTTTGCCCGGCGTATGAACAATGCGCAAAACATCCTTTTTTCTTGAGGTGAAAACGAGTATAGTGGGGTGGCCGAAGAATGTGCTCCGTCTCACCAGTTGGCGCCGGCACTGTCAAAGTCCGGGGCGCGAAAGCGTAGTTCTGAAGAATCCTTCATTCCCAGAAGCGCCCACGCCTGTTCCGTTCCCGGCACACAAAAGCCGAATTTTGAGCTCAAGTGTATGTCCACCATGCTGGTTGCAGCGAGAAACCAGCAACCGGGGGGCAACGAGCACGTACATGTGCGAGGGTGTAAAACAATACTAATCCTTAGCTTGCAAATGTGGGTGAGGATCGATGACGGTGAGCAGTAGGCCTCTATTGTTATTAACAAGGCTAAGAAATGGACAAACAGTAGAGGAATCTCAATGCAACAAATATGGCAGCGCACAAAGTGTTGCCAGACATTCAAACAATTTCGCATATGGTCTACTGCACCAGACATACTAAATATTCTTCTTTTTCTATGTTGTGTTTGGGATGTCAGATGTTAGCCTCACATCTTTCGTGTTGGCACTACAATATGCTATAAAGCTTCTTTGATCATGCATAATTTTTTTAGAACGCAGCTCTTAGGCGCCCGTTTCCGGCTTCAGCGGCGTCACCGTCGCCGTCGGCGTAACCACGCGGTGCATTATGGGTAAATTTTTCCGAAGGGACCCGAGGACTCCCAAAGGAACTCGAGGTCGTCCCGAAGGAACAAGGTCCTTCGGGAGGACCTCGGATTCCATCGGGAGGACCTCGGGTTCCTTCGGGAGTTGCATGCAACAGGTTGCATGCAACTTCCGAAGGAACCCGAGGTCCTCCCGAAGGATCCCAAGGCGCATCCGCATCGTCATCGTCATCATCACTGATGACGTCATCAGTGACATCACTGATGACGTCATTGGCATCCGCATCGTCATCGTCAAGGTCACGTGACCCCTGAGGTCCCTGACCCCCTAAGGTTACGTGACCCCTGAGGTCACGTGGCCCCCTGAGGTCATGTGGCCGCCTGAGGTCACGTGACCCCCTCCTCCGAGGTCATGTGACCCCCTTGACGTCACCCGACCTCCCATGAGGTCACGTGACCTTAAGGAGTAACCTGTCCCTCGGTACGCTTCCATCCCCCTCCTCAAGAGCTGCGCTCCAACCGGCGTTACAGGGAATTGTAAACGGCTTTCATTTTTTTTTTCTTCTACTTTTCGCTGTTAGGGTAGAATTTTATGATAACATGTACAGGGTGTGACATGATTAGCACGAACAAATGATTTCCCTTTTTTCGGTGTCTTTTTTTTTTTTTTTTTACAAATAAAGACTTATTAACAAAATTGATGGTGGTATGTGCTAATCTAAATAAGTAACTTGGACTAAAATTTGAGGTTTGTTAATAGCACATCTGAAAAAAAAATGTGAAAAAGCAACCAAGTTCTGTTTGCATTAAGAGTGTCATGCTTTGTACTTTTATTTGGAAAGGACATGGTACAGGGTCCACAGGGCAGTTGTGTAACAAGACAGAGGAAGACTGGCCTGTTGATGTTATTAACCGCTTATCGGAAGACCAGCACCCAAAAACTCTCGTCGATGGTCTATACCTTGCCATCAACATAAGAAAAAAAAATAAGGTTTTGGGGGGAAATTTTTTATTTTGTATAGCTTTCAGTGTCATAAAAGGTAACTGTAATGCTACTAAATTTCATAAATTGTTTATGAATGGATGTCTCGCTTTTTCTTTTCTATTTCTCCGACATAGCATATCTACCCCTTGCTTTTGTTGCTCAGTCTGCTGGTTGCAGTACACTGCACCATTAAAGGGAAATTACAGTATTATTCAGTGTTGTGTGCATCTCTGTGCATCACACATTGTCTGAGAATAATGACAAAACGGGTTTCTGATCTGAACTCCTTCCCTGATTCAACAAATTTTTCAGCGGAGAAAACATCAACAGTTTGGTTATTTGGGCCAGTTGATATATCTTGAGGTCTTGAAAAGAGACTGTGACAAGTTACATGGCACTTTGTGTTACGTAGCATGGCTATATGTCTATAATTTTCAGTGATTTTCAAAATTTCAAGAGAATGTTTTGGGGGATTTAAGTTGCATGTCTGATGTGTAACCTTAATTTCTGCCCAGGACGGTCGTAGCGTGGCGAGTGTTTCGGCAAACGCTTCACGACGTCCACCCCATCAGCTCAGGACTGGAGGCCATGGCACTCAAGTCCACCATAGACCTCACATGCAATGACTTTATTTCAAATTTCGAGTTTGATGTGTTCACAAGGTGAGAATTCCCTTTGAAACAAGTTGCTCTGGCCGCATTGATCTTTGTTGACTGTATTGCCTCGATGCTCTTTACTGTTCAGTTTAGTAGTGTGAGGTTATCTCATGACTAACCTTGCCCTCATGAATAACCTTTCACACTTCCTTCTTAGATTTGAATGACATGAGTCTGTGACAATCATTATAATCCCTGGAGAAGGGGAACAAGGGGTACAAAGGACAAGCACAGATCTCCAAGCACAGCTAGTTTTAGTCGCGCACCAGTCAACTAACTGTGTTTGGAGATTTGTGCTGTCCTTTGTCCCCCTTGTTCCCCTTCTCCAGGGATTATTGTTATTCTTGTCCAGCTCGCTTGCACCTTTGCATTCATTGCATTATCATGAGTCTGTACTTAAAAGCTAGCATACTACAAAGGTCGTTCAAGGTTGACTGAGACCTCTATCCGTAAGAAATTGTTTAAGGATGGCTAGCTGGGCTAGTTGGTTTTGCATCATGGTGTAATACGCCAAAACAACAGGGACAAAAAACGAAGGGAGAACTAGACAGGACGCGGCGTAACTTTCAACTGAATTGTTTATTTGGATGACAGAATTTAAAAAAAAAATCTATAAATAAAAGCAGATACAGTTGGCAGAACACCAAAGATATGGTCTAAAAACACACCCCCCTCAAATGCCAGCGTCATTGGTTCTTCAAATAGTAGAATTCTTTATCAGTCAAGGACAAAGACGGTGCGCTTATACAAGTATTGTCGTGGTGGCACCTAATCAGGAAGTCTTCGTGAATTTCTCTTGCTGTTTTTGTTTTGTAATGGCCCATGACACAGGTCTCACCAAAGATGGGGCTGCACTTGTTAGAGTTGGGCCCGCAATCGCAACGGTCACAGTGGACCGCTAAGTGGCCAGATGGGGACTGCCTGATCGCCAACGCATGCTCTCTGACCCTATCATTAATGCACCTCCCCGTCTGGCCAACGTACACGTTACCACCTGACAGGGGGATTTTGTATGTGACACTAGTGGCGCACTCGCGGAACTTAGTGACATGTTTTTTGCACGACTCTTGTGGCACATCCGATTCCTCTCCTAATCTGCTTATCCTTTTACACAGTGAAGATAGTTTATTCGGTGCTGAAAAAACGACTGGTATGTCAAAGCGATAGGCCACCTTCTTCAGATATTTAGGAGACACCAGCTGAACAACCCAAGCACACAAATGTAAGAAGGATGAGAGAGACGCATTCAACCGCTGGACTACCAACTGAAATTTAATGAAACACTTCATCTTCATCGACAGGCTAGGATCAATCATACCTAGCTTGCTTCACTTCTTCCTCTTTTTCTCATTTTTAAACTAAGGCATCCTTCTTACATTTGTGTGCTTGGGTTGTTCAGCTGGTGTCTCCTAAATATGTGTAACCAACGTGCTCAACCTTTTCCGGTGGTCACCTTCTTCAGATTGTAGGACATCTTGTGAATGTAAGGCAAGACAAGAGGCCTACCTACCCTCTTGGGTAGGTAGGCCTCTTGTTGCCATTCAGCTCGGCACACTCCAAGTTAGTGAGGAGGGGCATTGCTTCATCTTGCCTAAGGGCCGCGCTAAAGAAATTGTGCCCCCACCGGATGAAAAACAGTTTTCATTCTCAACTCAGTGGACTTGAAGAGGCAGGGTACCCCGGTCATGTTCTTCGAGATGTTTCAGAGACCTTAGCAAAAATGATGAAAAAAGACAACAGCGCAGTGTGCGAAAGGGCTCCCAAAAAGGTAGGTAGGCCTGTTGTCTTGCCTTACATTCACAAGATGTCCCACAATCTGAAGAGGGTGGCCTATCGCTTTGACATACCAGTCGTTTTTTTCAGCACCGAATAAACTATCTTCACTGTGTAAAAGGATAAGCAGATTAGGAGAGGAATCGGATGTGCCACAAGAGTCGTGCAAAAAACAACATGTCACTAAGTTCCGCGAGTGCGCCACTAGTGTCACGTACAAAATCCCCCTGTCATGTGGTAACGTGTACGTTGGCCAGACGGGGAGGTGCATTAATGATAGCGTCAGAGAGCATGCGTTGGCGATCAGGCAGTCCCCATCTGGCCACTTAGCGGTCCACTGTGACCGCTGCGATCGCGGGCCCAACTCTGAAAAGTGCAGCCCCATCTTTGGTGAGACCTGTGTCATGGGCCATTACAAAACAAAAACAGCAAGAGAAATTCACGAAGCCTTCCTGATTAGGTCCCACCACGACAATACTTCTATAAGCGTTCCCTCTTTGTCCTTGACTGATAAAGAATTCTACTATTTGAAGAACCAATGACGCTGGCATTTGAGGGGGGTGTGTTTTTAGACCATATCTTTGGTGTTCTGCCAACTGTATCTGCTTTTATTTATAGATTTTTTTTTTTAAATTCTGTCATCCAAATAAACAATTCAGTTGAAAGTTACGCCGAGTCCTGTCTAGTTCTCCCTTCGTTTTTTGTCCCTGTTGTTTTGGCGTATTACACCATGAAGAAATTGTTGAACAAGTGTAGCATCACGAAACTTGTGGTAGATGTTAATTGAATCTTCATGAATATCCCGCATTCTGAATGACGTATGTGACCTATGTGAAGCAGCTCCAGCTATCACAACAGCAAAAAATGTGTCTGTAGCTGCGCAGCCACAGATTTATATTCTTATTTCTGATGAAGGAGAATGTTAAATAAGCTGGAAATTTGGAAAGATTGAGAGCACAGTATGGGGAATAGACACAGTGACACGAACGAGTGTATATGAATGGCATCAACACTTTTGCAAAGGACAATAGCGGTGACAAATGAATCGCATGGGTATGGTCGTCCAACTGCAGTCACGCATCACGTGACCCAGTTGTTTTTACGTCAAAGGAACCAGGGAGCTGCAAAAACGATGGCAGCAGTACTTAGACGTGTATAGGGAATTTTTTGAAAACCTGACATAGTTTCATGCTTATCGGATTTTTCGTTTTCATGTAGAAATAGAAGTCCAAAAGTCCCCGTCGTCCTTGATTGACCTTTGTATTATTGTAACTAAAGCTACGGGATTTTTTTTTTTTAAATACAACTTATAAATTTAAAAAGTGCTTGCCAGTAAAATTTCTTAAATTCTGAATATACACAATGACATCAGATCAGAAGATACTTGACATTAGTCCCTGGATCAGCGGTCCTGAAGTGAGCACACTGCTGTCTCTTTTCTAACCTCGGATGATTAACACAGAAGTGTATACTGTCGCTGTCAGTTCAGGAGAATAGTTGAATGTTTCTGGGTCGCGACAAAAAAAAATCAAAGTTTGTGATTACGCTAGCAATTGTTCCAGTTTTGAGGTTAGATTATACCATTCAGGCTTTTCATAAGGAGGAGTTTTTTTTGATAGAGGTGGGCTTGGCATTTTGCTGCCGGAGTTTTTCGGATTTATCCAAAAACACATGGAGCCCTAGATATAAGTCTTGGGTGTAATGTTCTTGGTTCTATTCCTGGGCAACCAATTAAATTAACCAATTTTAAGCCTGTCACTCAATCCTTGGTTGAGCTATGCTGGCTTTACTACGATGCTACTGGCAGCCTCAATAATAGTAGTATTTTTGGAAGCTACCTACTTTGCCATGATTTATTTGCTGTCTTATATGCTCATAGCAACCCCTGAAATATTCGAGGGGTGTTACAGAGGGATAAAATAAACCATTCATGTTAACTGTAATGCCACCTGCAGTCTGAGAACAGGGCAAGCCAGATATTATGTTTCAAGCCCTGGCAGGCTACTGTTCTTACTGGAAAAAATTGCTGAGCACACCTCGCTTAAGTAATCTTGCATATACAGGTTATATGATGTATGATAGCCCAGTTGCTGCGATAAATGCAGCCCTTTAAAGGGGTGATGCAACAGTTTTCAAACTTTGGCCAATTAACTGCGGAAATTAATCTGCGTCACCTATGGAACGAAAAACTGAAAACCACAATTTCTTGCGAGCGCTAGTTCTTATTTTTTAAAAAAATGAAACAAATCGAAGGCCTCTCAACTCTCCACGCCGACTTCGAGTAACGTCTCTGGGGGTTCACGTGGTTTCCCCTTGGGTCCTCTCTTCAGAGACCCAGCCGCTTCCTCCACGATTGTCGACTTTAAAGGATTAGCCTCGTCGAAGGTAGCGGCGAGAGATCGACACAAAAGATGATTCGCCACGGGGCTGACAGCGAGTGTAGCAGCGGAGGGGGACAGGTTTTGTGAACTTCTGCATATCTCCCAGAGACGCTGTCATTTTGGGTCCCGTAACTGCCACAGGCGGCTGGAGATTGGCAAATAATTTGTTTTTTGCTTTGCAATTATGCAGCAGAATAGCAGTTTTTTGGGGAAAGGTTACACATTTTTTGTCACTTGGGCTTGCATGAACAATATAAACAATGCAAACAGTCAATTCTTTCAACATTAAGATCGTTGCACTACCCCTTTAAATATTATTGCAAAAGCTGTCGCAGATAGCAAAAATAACGGTAAGCAAATTTTTATTGCATTCCTATTTTGCTTTAATATTCCATGGCTAGAGGAAGCTTGTGGCCAACCCCTATACTATGAAACACAAACAGGAGCGAAGCTTGTAGGAATGACGTAGAACTTCCAATAAGCCCTAGAGCTGCTGCCAACACTGTACCGAGAGACTTGACTATCTGGTTGTATTTTGCTTGCACAGTTGAATTAATCAGAAAGACTATATATATTGCTCTAAATTGCTTAGAACACTATTTTATTGGCAACAACAGTTCCCTTGCACCTTACAGCTACATAGAGTTGTTCTTCAAAAGTAGAGTCTTCCCTCAAAAGGAGTCGTCTTCGAAATGGGGAGAAAGAAAAGCTGTTAGTTTTTGCGTCAACATTCATCTTGTAATTCGCACCTTGTTGTTAACTGAAAACGCAAACACTGGTCCCTTTGGATTAGCGCGAGAGGTAAAGATGATAATCACAGAGTTCGTCATGCAATAAGCTTTGCTGACCTTGTGCCTCCAACCGAGACTGTACCTGCGATTCCGGCAAAACGGACAGCACCTAGCGGGAAAACACTGAACTGGATGGACCAAACAGGCCCTTCGGGATTTCTGCTCATCTCTTGCGGCTTCTTTGATTACCTGTTGTCGGCGGTTGGCCCAATGGAGCAGTTGCCCCGTGACTTCGTCGTTACTGTCGTATCGGCGTGTTGCCCAGGTCCCTCTGAATGCAACCTATGCATCCGCATGAACCAGGCATTATGCGCTATGCAACCTATGCAACGGTCATTAGCATTATATAAGAAAAGTAGGCAGTCCTTCTATCGCTTTGCCAAACAAGTGTTAAGCCTCTACAAGTTTGCATATGCCAACACGTTGCCGCAGGTTTGAAATATATTGAATAAAAAATGGGGCAAGCCATTTTGAGTTCGATGCTTGCCTGCTGAAACCTGTGCGTTGTGCGGGCACATGGCACAGCATGAGCTGTTTTAAACTGCCGTATTTGCCCGATTGTGGCAACCCTTATAGTAGGTTGCCGGAGTTACGAATACCCGTGCACCGTCCCCAGCCATCCTTCTCTCACCAAAGGACTCAAGCTTGGCCCCCCTCAGTGCGCAAAGCTTTTCTGGGTCCTTTGAGCCAAGGTTGTTTAGAAGGAAAGGCTGACAGAGGTGACCTCCGACATTTTCGTGGGGATCTCATGCATGCATGCAATCATATTTGTCTGTTTGCGCAGGGGTCCCAATATATCTGCAGATATAACCACTGCAATTATTGACAGCTGCCGCAGTGGGGGGGGCAGCACAGCACGCAAGCAGCAGACCAAAGCAGCTATCTCTTTTAAGTTTGTCTCTCTGATTTTGTACTTGTCCCTTTAACCAACAATTGCTGTCCTCCATCAATTGTTATAAAAGCACTCACCTGCCAGGGCTTGAAACGCTGGCTCGCCTTGCGCTCAGACTGCAGGTGGCATTACTGTTAACGTGAATGGTTTATTTTAGCCCTCGGTAACGTCCCTCATATATTCCAAGAGTTGCTACGAGCGTATAAACAACTAAATCAGTCATGGTAAAATGGCTTTAAGAAAAATCTTATTATTGAAACCGCCAGTAGCTGTGTGGTGAAGCCAGCATAGTTGAACCGAGGGTTGAGTGACAGGCCTAAAATGGGCTTATTTATTTGGTTGTCCCTGAAATACAACAAATATATTGCACCCAAGAGTTATATCCAGTAATTCTAAACCTTAAGTGCCATAAAAAAAAAAAAAAAAGGTTTGAAGAAAATAAAAAAAAATGCTTGTTTGAGAAAATCTATCTTGCATACCTTAACAATGAGGAATTGTAACAAATTTGGAGCTAGATGTCATTTATTTTGTAAACAATACCAAGATAAAAGTTACACCACCAGATACATACCTGCCAAGTCTCCCGTATTACCCTGGAGGCTCCCGAATTTTGAACGATTTGTATGATTGTACGATTGACTGAAAATTCTCCCAGAAAACGCAGATTGCCCCCCTCCCCACACTTAAGCAAGGAGTCTTTGCCGTTGCAACGAACAGCTGCATTGATAGCAAGGCCCAGCTGTATCTCGCTTACATGAGCAGTGCAATATAAATGTAATGAAGTTGTCTTCATGTACATTTTTTATCAATACTTACTTCTCCAAACAGCAAACCCCTCCCACTTTCCCTCTCCCACTAAGAAATTCTCCCAGATTAGATTTCTCTGAGCTTGGCAGGTATACAGATAGCTTATGTTTATAGCTATGCACTGAACTTGTTTCATGTAATTATCTTTAATGATTCACTTACTCGAGCAATTCAAATTGAAGGCAAAATTGCTCCAGGTAACAAGTTTGCTATTTTATAAGAAAATAACTGTTTAACCTAAAAGGAACCTTTTAATTGATAAAAATGGTTCATAACATTTCCTGCAGTGTTAAAATATATTAGCCACTTTAGTAAAGCCAATAGTCTTAAAACAATGACCAAAATTGAGAAAAACTCAAATTGAGATTTTTTTCTACACGTTTCACCTTCTGGCACTTTGGACTTCTTTCCTGTGAAGCTTTCTAATTTCAATTTTCTCAAAGGACAGTTTTGTTCATTGGAGATATAAATCTGCCACATACAATTAAAAAAAAAAAATCTGAAGTCATCTTTTTTTTTTCTTAACAAGTTTGGTTGAATTCAAATGGAACCATCCAGTAGTTTTTGATTCCATATTCTACTTTTGGTGTTCTGCTGGAAGGTAAGCAAAACTGGCACACATCAGTTAATCAACAGAAAGTCGGGGTGCAAGCGAGCTGGTGGTGGTCGAGCATAATGTACTAAAACCCAGAAACTAGGGGGAACGAATGACGAGATGACAGAAGTCTTGACGCTTTTGTGCTGTGTCGTCCCTCGTTCTCCCTAGTCTTAGGGTTTTAGTCTATTATGTTTAGTCAGTCGGTTTTATTCTTAGTCAGTGATGTTTGCTTTCTCACAAACTGTAGCTTTTTATGACCATAAGTACTTGCATTACACACAACACCAGCACCGTACCAGTTTAGGCACGAAAATCTGCCAGGTATTCTGCTTGAATCCAAAATATTTTCTGATCCTGCTGTCTCCATTAAACTTACCCAAATCTTTTTACCCAATAATTGTTGTGTAAAACAAAATTCTGTGTATAGGCAAAATTAAAATCGAGGGAAACTTTTTTTTTTAATGACTGGCGGGTGTTATAATGTGTTGTATTTTTGTTTCAAAGGTTATTTCAGCCCTGGTCAACACTTCTCAGAAATTGGCAGATTTTGGCAGTTACTCATCCAGGCTATGTTGCTTTCCTCACCTATGATGAGGTCAAAGCCAGGCTCTACAAATACATCAACAAGCCAGGAAGGTAAGCACCGAATCTTGCAGTATTCCCTTGGGTGTCCCAGGGCATTGATCGAAATGAAGGCTGCCTTGGAACTTACAACGTGGCACACTCACCACAATGCAGGCTACCTTTGTGCATGCATTCACAGGGTGCCATTTGCATTGAAGAGCACTTCAGCAGATGCATGCTCATGTTCATGTCAGGTACTCTGTTTCCTGATCTACCGAGGTGGGCTTAGTACTCCCTGTCGGGGCAAAGGATGATGAGGGTTCTAGCAAGTTCATCTTGGAGGCTAACAGTGAGTTTGTAAATTTTAATGAAATAAGTTGACTCTTGAATATCGGACTACGATTTTTCCTCTTGAATGAGGGTAATAGATTATGTCCTGGACATCTCTGCTACAAAGGTATGTTACACAAACCATAAAGGGCCAGATAATATTTTGTTCTCCAGCCAACATGCACGATTCCCAGTTTAACAACTGGCTTCTTTGTTTGTTGTCATTCCTTCACAGCGTGAACACAGAACAAGCAGGTCGTGAAATTTGATCTGTAGTTTTTGAACGGTAATTTTTTTGACCCTTGACTTTTCTGTATGTTAACAATTGTTTGTGTTTGGGCTATTCATTCAATATTGTGATTTTTCCTTCACGTTCTTAAAGGGACACTGCAGTCAGAAATATCTGTGTTGGGATGCATAATTTAAATCATGCCATAATAATTTGTATAAAGGAAAATGTTTTTGTGAAATTACCCTCATTAACTGGGTATTGTGCTGACTACTTTTTTTATTTTTTTATTTTGTCAGTGAGTGGTTGCAGTGGTGAGAGCGATTGTTCACCACAAAAAGCATGGAATGATAGGGAGAGTGCATGTGATGAAGGGTCAATCAGTGTCCTGGCATCATCTGGTATCTTCTAACATTTCTGAAAGAAGTTTAAGAACATATATTTTCTGATATTTCTTGCTATTCTTCTTTCTTAAAGGGAAGATAAAAAAAAAACTTGAATTTGAAAGAAAAAAGAAACTGCCAATTTTAATGTAGTAGGCACCTTAAAAATTGTGTCTCTTAAGCTTATTTTTATCTTATTAGAAAAAAACATTGTAATCGCCAAATAAAATTTTGATGTAGCCCCACCCGTTGCAGCACGCCGAGCAGTGTGAGAGTTGAGAGGAAAACTAGCAAAATTGACGTTATCGGCGGGGTCACATGACCCTTGTTTGCCACTTAGCTGGCTTGGGAATGTCGACGATGACATCACAACGCTTTGGACAGATAACGGGCAGCAGAGGGGCCTGCCGCACGCCTTGCGACAATCGCTGCACATATATTTTTAAATAAATGGGATTTATGTTTACTTATGCCAAGTAATTCACGGGATAAAAAGCTATAGAAGCCCGCTCCAAACTCAGATTTTTTTAAAGGTGCTTCAGCTTCCCTTTAACATATTCAGGTCAAATGTGGTGGAGAGCCTTGTCAAGTTGTCTAAAGATAAAAATTTGTCTCTAACTTCACACTTCACATCTGCCCTTGCTCACTACAAAGTGAAACTCAACACAGATGAGTTTCAATTTGTATTTAGTTGCTGTAGACTTTCATGTTGAATATATTACCCTGTTATGAGGAGACACTCATTAGGTTATCACGTCGCAAGATGTCCATAAGTCAGCATTCCTTTAATTCTATTTTTCCCTGTATTGAGAAGTTCTTTCACTCCTGTGTGCTGAACAGGTGCTGGGATCTGTAAGACCTTTCAAATGTTGATGAAACTTTTAATTTAGGTTGTTGTTACCTAATCGACTTTCAAATCATCACACCATATTTGTTTCGCGTTTGTGCTTTGACGATTCATCTGACGGAAAAAGCAACAGGGAGGGCTCCACTTCTGTTTTGCAACATCATGAGGTCGACCCTTTTCAGGGCGTTTATCTTATCAGTCAGTGAAACAAGGAACTTCCACAGCTTCCTTTGTTTTGAGGTCAGACACTCCATTGTGAAAAATAACTTGAAGTTTAAAAAAAAGAAAGGTGATGCAATATGACGACAAAAAAGTAGTATAACTGCTGTCCCATACTTCTTTCCTCATTAGCTGTCTCTCGGTGAGATCTGTAGAATAATGGCATCAGGTTTAACTTTCACCAATCTGCTTCTCTCTTATCCTTATGCTCAAAAGTAGTGAGACTAAATAGCTGAGAGGGACAAGATTATTTTTTGCAGTGAAGAGGCACCTGCTAGTGCCATAATGCATAGGTGTTATGGCCACCGTGCATTTTTATGTTAGCTTATAATCCTCCACTGTGTGTTTGATACAATTTAAAATAACTTACTAGCTGATTGAGACACCTGATGCTAGGTAAGCGTAATAGGTATAACTTGGAAGAACAAAGTAAAAGAGAAAGTGCTTGTGTGTTATTTCTGTGCTCCTTACTTTACTTTTTCCTTCCATACTTCAACTCATGATTGCACATTTTGTCTGGGTACTAAATGCCCAAACTTTAGTTGTGGTATTGGCCCAAGCGTGCCTGTCTCTACGAAATATCAAGTGTATATTAAAAAAGAAAGAATAGATAGAAAATGGGTCTTGACTGTTCATTGTATTTTCTCTTTAGCTCCATTAGAGTAAAATACAGTTTTTCACCGTCTATACATTTAAAAAAAAAATTTTTTAAGCTTATCAGATTTGTTCGAAAAGGCCGTGAAAGCTGCACTAAAGCGCCGTTCACATATATCCGACCGAGTAGGGCCGAGAGAGACCAGACTGGTTTTTAAGCTTCTTGCGACATCTTAGGACTGGATGCGCTGCTGCGGAGCTGGTCCTAAGACATTGCAAGAGGCTTAAAAACCGGTCTGGTCTCTCTCGGTCTCACTCAGTCGCAAGAGTGTGAATAGGCCTTAATGCAATTTGTGAAGGCAAGTTATACGGCCACGGGGACACAGTATAGGGGGCTAATCGTAACGATCAGTCTGCTAATTAGCTAAACTGCACTGATAATCCTTAAATTTTTGAAAATGAACATGGTTCTAATTAGAAACTTGTTGAACATCTCCATGAACATCTCCAGAAACCGCTAAATCAGTCAATATTAGGAAGACTTGGGGCACGTGGGAAGCACGGTAGAGTGCTAAAGTTACCAGTTGTGAAGCAGAAGCAAGGTTACCGGTGTGATAACGTGTCTGTGTGCTTTTTCCGTCTCATATCATAGCCCCAGCCTTGTGCCTGATGCACAGGTGGTAACTTTAACGCACTACTGCGCTTCCCACGTGCTTAAAGTATTTCTAAAAATTACTGATTTAGTAGTGGTTTTCAATGACACTGATAAAGTTTCTATTTGGAACCATATGTCTATTCTCACTAATTAAAAAATTGGTTAACACCTTTTAGTTAATTATTTTATTTATCTTGGTGATTGGCCCCTTATATTATGTCCCTGGCTGTATAACTCACCTGCGCAAACCGCATTAGTGTAGCTTTCACAACCTTTTTAAACGAATCGAACGTGTTCAAAACTTGGGAATCCTGTAAATCATACATTAAGCGCCGAATTTGACCGGACAAGCACCCATATCTAGATTAATTCAATTTTAAGTGAAAATGGAGTGGGCAGTTCCCCAATATTTTAAGACATGTGCAAAATAAAATTTGTTAAATAACTTTGAATGAACAAATGTTTCAGAAATATATAGCAAAATCAAAATCGATATTCTCAAAAACCCAGATTTTTATTAGTAGCAAGGTATAATAGTGATTTGTTAGAAAACGTGAATGTAATATATAGTTTTCTGTTTATATGAGCACAATCAAAGCATGAACCTTGTCAGATGTGAATTGCAAAAAAAGCAAGCTTTGTTGCGGAGTAAAATACTTCTTACTCTGCATTATGCAGAATTTTACATATTTTTAGGGTTGTGTTTATTAAAGTATTAATATTAGGTAATTACTATACCATGCCACAATATTGACTAGAGTAGCATCTATGCAAGAGCGCAGTCACAATGAATGGACTGACAAGATTCAAGCGTTAATTGTAGTAATACAAACAAAAGACTATATTTTCTGTTTACCATAGAATACCGCACATCCACCCATTCCACATTAAGCGCCCATACCCAAATTTGTAAGATCCGAGAAAATATGCACAGTACATTGATATGTAAAATTGATGACCGGACAAGCACCCATCCCCCATTTTTTCGCGATTATCTCTAAACTTTGAGTGGGCGCTTGCCCGGTATTTTACAGCATATGTGCTGATAACGCACAATTACACCTTGGTCCCAACAAAACTTGAAGCAAATAGGAAATGGTGCTTTAAAAGAAGATCGTTCCCGAATTTGATGGATTTTTTAAGAGATTTTTAATTCAATATCATTAGTACCCCCATGACAGGGAAAAGCTGACGGCATCCGTCGGTGGACAAAAGAGTGGAAAGCTAAGCGTGCCACGTAGAGTGGAGTAGTGAAGGACAAAGGCGAGAGGGAGGCAACGTCATGGGGCGGGAGCCAATGCGCGCGCGGATGCTCTGGCGAGTCAAGTTGCAGGTGGGCGGAGCGCTTATACCTGGGTTTGTGTTACAAAATGGAGTGTGAACCAAGCACTAGTGCTGGTCCAAGTAGGCGGCAAAAAAATTAAAGGAAGATCCATTGGTGGATCCTTAGGGAATGCGTTAACATGACTCTTAAGAAATGTCACACTCATCCCCCTTTGGGAAATGCTAACGCTGACTCCGTAACGAAGCCAAAAAAAGGCAGCAAAAATAGAGGAAGCAAAAGAGAAAGCCAAAACAGAGAAGCAAAGGGGTCAGGGTTAGCGTTTCCTAAGGGTCATGCTAACGCGTTCTCCAAGGATCCAGCAATGGATCTTTATTTAATTTTATTTTCAAAATATATCATTGCATTTGTATTCAATAAAAAGAGCTAAGTTTGAGATTTCCGGTGATGTCAGCATCATTAAAATATCTTGAAAAACCATCAAAGGGGCACGTTTTCAGCAACTTGTCGGGAATCACATGTTTGACCTCTCTCTATTTTGTTACTTCTCAAAATACTGCACCGGGACTTTTCTGTGACACTTCCAAAATAGATTTATGAAGCTTAGTGAATTAAAAAAGGATGTATTTTTTAAAAGTAATCTTTGAAAGAAAAAAAAAGCTGTACCATGTCGTGTCCCTTTGATGATTTTTGGCATAGTTTGGCAATATGCTTAAAATATTTTTATGACCTTGACATCACTGGAAACCTAAACCTTGCTAGCTCTTTTTATTGAATACAAATTCAAGATGCTATGTTTAATATAAAATATTTTACATGCCTTTGAATGAACTAATGTTTAGAAAATTCAGCAAATTTGGAACTGATTCTTTCAGAAACTCTATTTTTTATCTGCTTTGAGTTTTATTGGTAGCAACATATAAGTGTGGTTTATCAGCAAATATAAACAAAATATTGTAGTATTTGGTTTGTATGACCACAAGGAAAGCTTGAATCTTGTCAGTTTGTTGTGACTGTGTCCTGGCATAGGTGCTATGCTGGCCAACATCATGGTGTGGCATACATGATTACCTAATATTAATACTTTAACTAACACATAACTTTAAAATGAGCAAATTTGTAATGTGGAATAAAGGTATTTTACTCTGTAACAAAGCCTGCCATTTACAATGCACATCTGATAATGCTCAAGCTTCAATTGCACTCATCTAAACAAAATACTATATAATATAATTATGCGGATTGCAAGTTCGTCCGCTTCTTGCACAGGGGTTGTGATGATGTCAGCTGATTGAAAAAAATGTTAGACCTGAAGCATCTAGCATTGAGGTCGACCCACTATACTTCCGATCAAAGCCAATCAGACCTATTCAGAGCTTGGTGTCGTTCTGATGTCATCACAACCCCTGCAAAAGGAGCAAACGACTTTCTCTCCAAATATTTTCTATTAAACAACTATTTTACCTTGCTACTAATAAAAAGAAACAAATATTTTGAGAAAATTGATTTTGAATTTGTTCGATTTTCGAAATGTTTGTTCATTCAAATGTATACAACAAATTTTGCTTTGCACATATAGTACTGAATTTTTATTAATTGGAAAGAGCTAGATTTCAGCTTTCTGGTGGCTAAAATATCTTAAAGAGGTTGTATGTGGAAACTTGCCAAACTTTGCTGAAATCATTAAAAGAACACAGTTTGACTTTTTTTTATTATTATTCCAAATAAAGGATTAATTTTAGGTCCCTAAGCCCAAATAAATCTAGTTTGAGAGTGTCACAAAAGAGTGTTCATGCTTCTTTTGAGAAATGAGAAAATAGCGAGCTGTCAGACTTGCAATCTTGACCGGTAGGAGAAACGTCAGTCTTCACCGCAGCCACTTCAATGGTCATTAACTCAAAAAGAAAGAAATTTGTTAAGCTTGCCGTTTGTGCTGTCTTTCATTTCAAGAATTTTCCCACAACATAGGTTAGTTTTGTAGTCAAAATTAAAAATTTCATTCCAAAACCATACGTGGATTGAGATGAAAACACCCATACATAATGAGAAAATAACAAATGCACCTGCGCACCGTGTCGTCCTGCTGGCACACCAACTGTTCTCCTGTATTTGATTTTCCACTAGCCTCTTATAATGGAGATTTATTCTTTCTTTGCGTTGGGGGAAAGAGTGAGAGTGAAAGGAGAACACAGAAACAGCATGTGGTTGCAAATGGAATGCGAGGGAATGTTCTGTAACGGGAGGGAGCCTTTTTTTCAAGTCAGGTGTTGAACTGATGACAGCTGTTTACAAAGTCTTCCTTCCTTCTCTTTTTTTTTTTTTTTGTGTTTTTTTTCCGGCTCTATTCCTTTCTGCTTTATATTATTTTTATGTTCGGTAGGCACAATTTCGAGGGGTGGGTCCGCAGGGGCATGATAGGGGAGGGGGAGGGGAAGGGAAGAAAAGAAGGATGAATGGAAGGAAGGGAAGGGGAGGCTCGGCTCATGGGACATCAACTCTTTCCCTTGAAATGTTGGTGCTACGCTAAGCTCGATGCCATTCTTCACACCCAGTTCACTTGTCCTCTGCTTTTCGAAAAAAAGTTCCTCGCTACACCGCTATGGGCCCGATCTGCCTGGCCCTTCCTTGGCTATGCGCCTGTACCATAGATATCTGTGACTGGCATAAGAGAAGCATTTTCCAGCACCATATTATTCTATGAACTTTGGACTGGGTTTGCCTTGCCCATGGTAAAGCAAAAAAATTTATTATTTTTTTATGCAGGAAATATTCCCAAAAAGAGTGAATGCAGCTGCATTATTCTTACATTTATTTGGCTCGAGTTCAGCGTGGCATTGAGGCGCTTTCTACTTGTGCGCAGACGGTGATTCACTGTTCCAGTTTTGTTCTTTCTTGCTGCGCAGTGTGACAAGTTTAGACTAAAGGAACACCTTTTGCTTGAGAACGTTTATTATTTGGCCACACATCATCCAAAACAGGACCCTCATTTTTCCCACCGAGGGAAAAAATAGAGACAGGTTGGCGGTACCTTTGTGCGCTTTGCCACCTTGCAATCGATTGAACCCTTCTGTTTTTCTATCTGAATGGTTTCTATTGCATACAAGAAACCTTGACTTTGTTTTGTTCTGCCTCCTCTCTCGGCGTGCAGTTACGTGTTCCGACTAAGCTGTACTCGGCTGGGCCAGTGGGCTATTGGTTACGTGACGGCTGAGGGAAACATCCTGCAGACCATTCCACAGAACAAGTCCCTGTGCCAGGCACTTCTCGACGGCTACAGGGAAGGATTGTGAGTGCACCGTCCTCCTTTGACAGCTCCCCTTCAAGGCCAGTTCACATGATGCACTGCTGACTTAAACGTTACTTAGTACTGATGCAGTACTGTATCCCTAATATACTGCATAGTTAGTGCTGTGTCTGTGCTATTTTCTGTGCTTACTGGTATTGCTGACGCAGCGCTGTGGTATATGTGTGAACGGGCCTTTAGGATCTCTTTGCCGAGGTCTTTGAGTAGCCGTAGGTGGGGAGATTACATTTTAAGTTGCCACTTGATGAGCCAGTGCTGCTGAAACGAGCGGAGGTTTATGCTTGCTTGCGGTAGACATGTGTGGAATGTCAAATTTTTTTATATTTGTTTCAAACACTGTTTGGAAATTGTTTCAACCCGGATGGCTGTTGTTCGGACTTTGCAAATTGTTAAATAACCACGTTGATGTGCATGTTTATCACGTTCATGGAGATCAATGCAGTAAAGTTTTGACTTTTGCCCATATGATATTTAAGGGTACAGCACCATTTTATATGCAGAAGTGGCGAGTAATTTCTTTGATTTATTCATACACACCGAACTAACTCTTGTCTGGAACGTTAAAACATTAAATTTGATAGTACGTGACTGAGCTGCAATGGGGGAGTTTTCAAGATGGCTGTCAAAATGCAAAAACTCAATTATTTTTCTTATTTCTATTTTTCAACCATGTGACTTTTCAGGTGTCATTGTGTCATTATTGTGTAACCCAAAGTTATATGACACTTTGCCCGACTTTTGGCAAACACGAATTGGTTGATTTAGCTGCACACTTCCTGTCTCCTGGCTAACTTTTTCTTTTTCTTATCAGTTAGTGTACAGAGCTTCGGTTGCAATTTCAATAAACTTAAAAGTAATAGAACTGATACGACTGTTGTGGTTGGAATTTATTTATTAGGTGTTTGTCAGTGATGAATGTGGTCTTAAAATACAACCAGAAATTTTTTTTCTGGTTATCCATTTAAAAAGCTTTCTCCAACGAAAATAAATTTCAGTGATCTGAATGCAAGCTTGGCAGCACTATGGAAACACATTCTTTGCTTAAATGGCTGGTAATAATTGATTATTCTCAGAGGCATACTAATTTACTCAAAACATTTATTTAGTTACTGTGCCTCTTGCAGTATTAATTTTGCAGGGAAACTAGAGAAGTTTAAAAGCGCTGTGGTTATGTGGTTCTGGATAGCTAGATAGCGCCACTAATGCCTCAGCCATCCTGTTACAAAAAAAAACTACAAAAAAACATCATTGCCTACTATCTGAAGCTAACTCAAAGTAAAGGAAATTTACTTTCTGCCCTCCATAACTGTTAATGCAGTCCTCAACAGAGTGAAACAGTATTGCCTGAGCTCTCCGGCGCCATGTCTAAAGCTCGGGAACGAAGCGTCGGTACTCTGAAGCGCAGCTTATTGATTGGCTCCAGTTCTAGGTGGTATATCTCTCTCTTTATGAGAAATAAGGTTTTTTTTACTTGTGGCATCACTGTTAAAAAGTATGTCTCCTTGGAATCAGCACCTGACATGGCTCGGTTGGCAGTTCTGATTTTAAAGAACAATGCAAGCACAATGAGGGGGTGTATTACAAAAGAAAAGCCTGGAAGTGCTCAGCAAACACAAAATTAACTCTTTCCTGGCCACAGGAAAAGTAGCAATTTTCGAAAAATTTGTGCAGACGCTTTTATTTTTTTAACCAATTTGATATCAAGCCAGTCTTGGATAATAACGCATTACTAGTAAAGCGTTATTGTAACTTCGTTACTTTTTCGATAACTTGTAACTGTAGTTCTATTACTTTTTCTGAGGTAACGATGAAAGTAACGACGTTACTTTTGTCGTTACTTTCCAGTGTTTTATGAATAATATATCACTGAACGAGGTACAATTTAGCCATTCTTTGCGCTTTCCAAATTGTCTGTTCCGACATTTTGACTGTCAAGTTATTTTTTGCACAAACTTGTGAATACATTCTTTCTCGCCAGTCACGACCCGAATGTAGCCACGTGTAGATTTGGTGAAAAAAAATGTAGTTATCTTTAGCATGTGCTTGTACTTTGTGACTGAACACTTGCATCTTAGTATCTTGAAGAACTATCTCTTTTACAGTTTTTCTTTTTTCTGCACAGACGCTTTTTAATCGGGTGAATCAAACGTGAAACAACAATACATGCGGAGGGCACTGCAAATGTTTCGTATTTTGACTAGCGCCGCTTCGCACTGCGCATGTTTCATATTTTTATTTGCGCCACTACTCCAGTGTAGTGTCAACAGTCGAGGCAAAATTTACTGTTGTTTGCGCAGGGTTTGTTTCTGGCTTGCCGGGTACGAACCGAAATATGTCCAGAAACTCTATGAACCTAGCACGACCGTCAACGAGCCAGAAATGTGCTAGTGCTACCAAGGATATGAATGTTGATAAGAACAAAGAAGAACTACCATGGCCGGCGTACAGAGAGTATTTTGCTGTGGTGGAGGTGGTTACGAACAACTTGACCGCAGAAAACGGCACTCTGTTCCCTCAATGCCTACCCGGCAATCAAGAACCTGTTCCGGCGAAACAACACAGCAATCCCATCCAGCGCGTTAGACGAGTGCCTGTTCAGCAAGGGCAGGGACGTGTTCGTTATCAAACAAGGGAAACTTTCAGACACTAATTTCGAGAAGCAGCTGCTGCTAAGTTACAATCTGAAGTAAAAAGCATACTTTTTAATTTTATGCAAATAAACTTTGTGAAAAGAATTTTCTAGTTTTTCGTAATTTTTTTTTGTTTTATAGAAAAGTAACTGAAAAGTACCGTGGTTACTTTTTAAAAGTAACTGTAACAAGTTACTTTTTTGTTGCAGTAACTGTAACGATAACTTCGCTACTTTTTTCTCAAAGTAACTGTAACCGTAACGAATTACTTTTTAAAAGTAACTTATCCAAGACCGTGTCGAGCAATATGATACAACAAAATGTGGCCAATTAGTTGTTTTGCTTTGAAAAGCAGAACAATTAGCTTTGAAAAGAAACAGAAGTTTACGTATTGTGGAAAAAAGATTTTAAAATTTTATTTCTTGAAAGTACACTGTATGTGCAAATGGCATATAAACGCTGAAACTCCTACAGTTACATAAAATTAAAAAAAAGTCACTTCTAAAAGTTAGTGCATTTAACTGACGTTAGAGTTAGCCTCCGTAACGTGTGCTTTTTAGCTAAGGAATGCTTGTATTGGTGAAACACAGATAGTACACCTCACATCCCCAGCAGAATGCTTTCTTTGCGTTCTACCTTGGTTTAATCATAGCCTTGATTGCAGTTCCTTAATATTTAGCGTTTTTGTCCACCTTTTTGGGAACGTCAAACGTGTACGGCCGGCTCAGGACAGCATTGGAAGTTATAATGATGCTTACCGACAACCATCTGTTAAGTGATGCCTATAGTATCATTTAAAGTGTCCCCGGAGCTCTTCAGGTCTAAAAATGATGCCCCAGTACAGTTGAATTATGTAAATAATGCCATCTTTGTTAGGAATTCTGATGCAAGCAGTCAGCCATGTTAGACAAGTGCAACCACCAATCCCAGGACAATTTCTGGCAGCCCACCAGCTTGTGATAAAGCTCAAACCTACGTTGAAACTGAAACTGCACTTCTTCGGCTATCCATGAGGTTGTGGAACGTAATTCTCCACGCTAACTTTAATTTCTTGGCAGCGCTTGGAAATCATCGATCACCGATGATCGATGGCCTATGGGTGCGGTCAGGAAAGAGTTAAGAGGCAGAGCGGGGCGAATTTTAATTATATTGTTGAAACAAGAGAGGAGGAGGAGTGGGAAATGGGCCTAAAAAATAAAGAACTAAAATTAATATAAACATCTACCATACTTTTGCACTCGATTCATCTGATGGGGCTGATGGGGAGAATACAAAATTGCAATGTTTTTTTAACATAATTTTTATCGCTGATCTTCTTAAGTTACACGGGATAAAACTTGATTACTACTTTGATTTGGAATGTTTAATGATATGCCCTTTAGTAGGACTGGCAGCTCCATGTTCTTAGCTGTAACATCCACTTTTTGTATCACCAATGTTACCAGCTGGCTATCTGGCCCAAATGACGTGTGACTCAGTAGGCAAGCATCAATGTCAGGGTCAAAGTAATGAGCAACTTGCTAAACATATGCCAACTTGTCAGTCGTTGCATCATTGCATACAACGGGCCAGCCGCAATCATTTCAAAGACTCCAAAGAACAGAATAGCACCTTTTTTTAGTTTGTGCATCCCTAGCACTTTAGGGCATAGGACAATGGCATCATGTGCCTGCGGTGTGCCCGTGCAGCTACCTGTACCCAGATGGGCGCAATGTGAACCCGGACCTGAGCTGGGCGGTGCAGGCCACGCCAGAGGACCACATCAGGGTGACGCAGGAACAGTACGAGCTCTACTGTGAGATGGGCTCCACCTTCCAGCTGTGCAAGATCTGCGCAGAGAACGACAAGGACATTCGCATTGAGCCGTGTGGGCACCTCCTCTGCACGCCATGCCTCACCTCTTGGCAGGTGAGGACCCCTTTGTCTGCCGCCATCTTGCCACCTTTCTGGGGCGGATCAGTTGCCGGTCACGTCGATGCGCCGCAGCTCGGAACAACCGAGACGAAATATTGCGCTGGAGAGGATCTTCGGTTTAATCCCCACCCCTGCCCGTTTCGACTCGGATGAGCATCGTGCCGACCTGCGGTCGTGGATCGCTTCTGTGTGATGCACGTTAAAGACCCCGGGCTGGGGGTGGTACGTCACTGGCTAAACTTTGCAGCTATGGCAGAGACACCAGATGCCCATTGGGGCTGACTAACTTTCTACTGTCTAAACATACGCACGGCAAAATTTTACTTTTCTGGCAATGGAGAGTTCCAGGAAACCTTCGCTGGTCTCTTCTGAATCCTTATCATGGCGGCTTAAAGACCGTCCAACAAACAGAGAGGAACAAGATTACATTTGCCAGTCCTTGTTTCTCTTCTTGCCGCTTTTCTTGCTACAAGAAAGGACGGAAGAGCCCCTCCTTTTCATGTCGCCGTTTAGGATTAGAAAAGAGTTGTCCAGTGGCCAGTTAGTAATCTCAAAAAAATGCAGAAGCCGCACCTTCTTTCCTCGCCATGCACCCTCCCCTCTTGAGGCTACCCTTTCACTTCGAACCTCGGATTTGAAGTGCTCAAAGAGCACTGTATACTCCGTTCAGTCTCTATGCTAACAGAGCGGTAGAAGCTACGTGCTTGTCGGACCAGTCATACACTTACCTTTCCCCATGTGATTACGCTCCCGCCCATACCTACGTACGGAGAGGGAGGTCAGCGATGAAAGGGAAGTGGTTGATCGGTCCTGCCAGAGCCTAGCTCCCACTGCACTATCATCTATGGGCTGAACAGGGTTTAAACTAGCACTCAGGAGAGCTGAGCCACAATCTTTTTTCCATGCTGGCATCGACTTGCCCAATCGTTCCTCCCGTAGCTTGTTAATTTCAGCAACAGTCTAGAAGGTTTCCTGCCGCCAAGAGAACACCAACAACTTTTTTTCTTCTGAACAATAATTTATTTTCCTATTTGAGGTTTCGTATTTATTTTATATCTTGCAGTATTTTTTGTTAGCTTTACTTTTTTATTTGTTTTTTTATTGTATCAGCAGCAATTGTATCAGCAAATTTGAGCAAACTACTTTTGCAATTAAAAAAATTTTTTTATCACGTGTATACATTACTTAGTCCTCATAGCAAACCACTTCCTATTGCAAAATGTCGTGCCCATTAAATATAGCCGAAATTCATGCTTAGCGAAATCCACGAAATTATGTGGCTGCAAAAATTAAGTTGTTTACGGTACAGCAAATGCTGAGGTTTCCGAGCCTTCATTCCATGTTCTCGAAGAAAAGAAGGCATGACGACGGCTTAAAAGAATACATATGTCAGAAGAGCAGACTGTCGCCCTGCATAAGTTTAATGTTTCAGGCTGAGGTTGGCATGACGATAGAATTTTAACTGATCGTTCCGATACATCCAACAGCGATATCCGATAACTACTATACGATGCACCTGCAAAGGCGTCTGCGGAGTACCGGGTGTTGTTATCGGAGTGATTGGAACAATCTCCAAAAACTCCCCAATGATCGACCCTCTTCTGAAAGAAGCAAGCACTGAAAATGAAGATAATTCAGTGGCACGATCATGAAAGCTATGCTGTGCTTCTCGAAGACACCTCGGTTCCCTTAGACAACCTCTCAATAAGTGAAGAAACGCCTTGCAATGGCACGTGAGTTGTCGTCGGTTGTTGGTGACAAATCTGCGCTCTTGAACATGCACCATGCCGCTCACTCTTGGCTTGGTGTATAATGAAAAAAAGAAATAAGAGCACGCCCTGTGCTGACAGTGTGGTGGGAGTTATGCGCTTACTGGACCAATCAGCCGCTTCCGTTTCATCCGCGGGGCTAAAGCTACGGTAGTCATGGGACTGGTTCGACAAGCACGTAGCTTCTACTGTAATGTTAGCTTAGACATGAACAGAGTATTGTCCTTCTCGAAAAGAAACTTGTGAGCTCGTTGCAGAATAGCCCAAAGAGCGATCCATGACAAAACTAAAGATATTGTTGTCCGAGTCAGGCGATAGCGACAGCCCTACTTCTTGCTCATTTCCTGCCAGTGTGAATAATCTCTGTTGTTCAGGCTTGAGGGTTATAGGCCGCTTAGTGCTTCGCATCTGAAGCATGAAGAGGTGGAAAAAGAAAGAGAAAGAGAGAGAGAAAAGGGGAAACGATAGAAAAGAGAAAAAGTTTTCTGCCGAGAATAATAAACATTGTCGTGTAGGGCTTTAAAGGGGTACGGAAACGAAATTCCAGTGCTCATTTTTTAGCTTTAATGTGTTGCATGTTGCAGCATAACTTCAAAAATACTAGCCTTTCGTTGAAAGGCACAAGCACCCTAATTTTAAAGCTGATTGAACAATCTTTCGATGTGCACCTGGTGAATGCATGTGGAGCCTATTTGGGAGGTCATCTAGCAGCGTTGGGGAACTTGCTACATAGTCATGACGTAGCAAGTTCCATCGGAGCAGCGCTGCTCTTTGGAATTTCCACATTTTCCATTCTTAGCTTTCCTCAACTCACAAATCGCGCATTGTACCAAACAATCCAAGAAGATGGACGGGAGGGACTCCCCTCTTTCCCGGATCCTTGTTTGTGTACCCGGACACAGCCATTCTCCCCCTAGAAAAGTAGCGCGTTGCTCCAAACTCGGACAAAAGTTGCTTTCCCCACCCCGTTCAGCCCTAAGCTGACAGTGTTGTGGAAGCTATGTGCTCCTTGGGCCAGCCACACGCTCATCACCCCACGGGTACTGAACGGCTCAGTTGCAACGCGCTGACGCTATTGACACCACCACAACGCTGACAACGCCACCAACAGTAAAGCTCATAACCACCCCAGCCTTGCTACGTCCCGAATGCGGGGAATCTTTTCTTCCTCTTTTTGTTTGCGCCGGATATCCCATAACGCATCGCGCTCTCTGTTTGCCTCTCTCTGAGCGCTTGCTCAAGTGCACCGTTTGGAACGAAAAATATAGCCAGTCGTTCAAAATACAAACATGCGATTATCATTTACGGTTATTATCTGTCATGCTTGACTCATTTCCGAACGAAATTTGAATATTTCAACTTTTGTTTCCGTACCCCTTTAAGCAACTTGTGGACAGTGTGCGATCTTGATTATTTGAATATATATAGTCCAATTCTTGGTCTTTTGTGGCTGGAAGCTTGTTTCGACATCTCCACTATATTTGTAACTTAGTTTTTTTCATTTAGCTTGGCTAGAGCCGTTGAGACATTAGAGTGGAAAAAGAGTAAGAGAGAACACTTTAGTATTAAAAGACAAGGAGAAAACTCTGCAAGTAGGTACAGTAGGTTTCTGTGCTTCACGAGAAACTGTTACGGAAAAAGGTATGGAAACCACATGCATGACAAAGTAGGATGTAGTTAAACCAAAAGAATTTATTAGCTCTCGTAGCATACCAAAATCCTTAGTATCTAACGTTTTTGAAGTGATAGATATGTAAAAATATATATATATGTATTTTTTTACCTATTAAATACTGCTGTGTATTAAAGGGGCCCTTCAATCCTATTTAAGCGTCTACCTTTTTTGCGGTTTCCACGTCTCTTGGGGTTTGGGCAAACCAGCGGGCACAGAGAGAGTAACTAAATATCAGTGCGTCATATTTTAACCGGATGACGCGGAAACATCCTCCACCTACGGGGGCGACCCACGGTGCCGAAAGCGCGCGATGTGTGAAGTCTTTGGTCCTGCTTACTACTGGTCAGAGCCGTTAAAAGCTTAATTTTAGTCGAAATACAAAATGTAAGTGGCACGAGCTGCTCCAAATATTTATAAAAGTAGTTTGTGTTTAGTATTTCAGATCAGAAAAGAAACAAATATAGTTTATAAAGTATGGAAACAAGAAATGACCCGTTGACATACCCGCCACCAAGTGGTGGAAAAGGTGGCATATACTAGAAAGGTGTAGTGGGGTCAGGTAAAGACGAGCGGCGAGCGTAGAAAGGTCTCGGATGTACGCGGTGGCGCTGTCAAGAATCCGACCGGTTCCGAGCGTTTCGAAGGCCTTCGGCGCGGGCTCTGTTGGCGATTTGGCCATTTGGCGGTGCGTCAGCGCGAAGTGGCTCCCGTTCTGAACTGATCTTTACCCCGTGTTTGCTGTCGTTTGTGGCCAATGAAGTGTCATGGCGAATTAGTGTTTAATCGCGCAGCAAATGCAATGCGAGCCACCTTAGCTGCCCGCTTCATACAGCCTAGCCAGAACATGCTTTAGTGGCGCCCTCTCGAGTCGTTGACACGAAGTGCGGCAGCCTTGACCGCTCGCTGAGCCCACTACCCCTCCTCTAGTTCACTGCCACTCAGACAACCAAGGACGTCGTAAAGGAGGTTATTTCTGCTCGTTTTTGTAATTTTAATTTGACTACCCTTTTAAAATCAAGCAAAATTCCAGAAAAGAAAAGTTTCATTAAGTTACTACGTTCAGTGCGCTCAGGTTCGGTGCAAAATAAAAACCTGTAAACAAGGCCTTGCAGAGCCACTTTAAGGCACTTTTGCATCACATTGGTTCACATGCTTGCGATCAGCTCTGACACAACCAGTTTTTAAGCTGCTTGTGACTGCTTACGACAGGCCATGCAGCAGCATGGCCTGTCGTAAGCAGCAATGGCGGTCGTAAGAGGCTTAAAAACTGGTCATGTCGTAGTCAGTCATAGTTGGTTGCAAGTGTGTGAACCAGCCTTAAAAGTTTGACAATGCCGTTGTGATGCAGTGATGCAAAGGTGAAAACTGGGGTTGGTGTTGGGGTTCCTTTCTTATTCTTCATTAGCATCGAGGCTCGCTCTGCTCGGGCTCCTACGAGGGCTTTCGTCACACCCTTTTTCGAAACACGGGCCAGTGTTGTGGCTAACGAGAAGGAGAATGTCTCTGAGCGATGTTTTTGCACGTTGTCCCATTCAACCGCCTTGTGGATT